CCAGGCATAGTCTTTTGAATAACAACCAAATCAATTCAGTTCTGAACAAAAAAAATCCATTACTATATTCTGAAGGCAAAGTCTTCATTCCCAGTAGCAAGCCTATTTTTATAATTTCTTTCCTCCATTCTTTTAAAAGTCTTCCTCTCTAGAGGTAGAGTTTTATATAGACTGGAAGTGGATCAATGTGAGTCTCCTCAATCGCTCTGCAGTTGTCGTCTGTGTAGGGAAGCTGTAATAGTCTGCTATTACTGGAATCTGGATAGACAGTTGACTGAAGGGTTATACTCAGTGGTGGAGGCTGAAGGAAGGAAGTAACTCAAATGGGTGGATAAATAAAAGAGACTATCGGAGCTCTGCTAATAGTTCATTTCATGTAGGATCCATTTAGAAAGAATGAAAATGTTCTGACAAAGTGCACCAATCATTACTATTTTTGATCATTTTACACATAACAGTCAGATCAGTGATGTACAGCATTGTGTTGCTCACTGTTTAACTTTTTTGCTCTTAAATGAAGTCACTGAGCAGAGTTGCTGCTTGGCATAACCACAGAAAGTATTTTGGTGCACAGCATTAATCATGTCTTTAAAATAGTGACATGATCTATCTCTGATTACTTTTTGTTCTGTAGTTGATTTCATTCAGTCTTCTATCGGAGTGGAATAGGACAAAGGAGAACAGAGCAAAGAAATAATAAACAGAAATAGGAGGAAAAAAAGGCTGAATAATCCATGTGCTCCAAGTAAGCTTAAGCTTTGGGAAACTAAACCCTTTCATTTTAGTTCTATTATTTTGTGTAACTTTTTTTTTTTCTACCAATTTTTAGGTATTTTTACTGAAAAATAAATTTAAGTGACTCTGTTCCCTCTGTTTATACCTCATCTGGTCCTTAAATGCTTTGTATTTTAAATCACCACAAAAGTGCTGTATACAAACAACTCACCTAAAATGTTGAAAGTTTAATAGTGTTCTTCCCTTTTTTGAATTTTTATTTACTTTTATTATTTATTATTTATACTTTAATTATTTCCTTTTATTATTTATTTTTATCACTGATAAATAAATGAAGTCTTCTTTTTGTTAACTATTAAAATGTATTTTCCTGTTCTTTTTTAGACTTACATTGGACATATTCTCCTACTGATCAATCCAAACAAAGAGCTGCCTATTTATTCCACTTTGGTAAGCACAAGTTATTAAAATATCTTTATTTTTTTGAGTGAAAAAAATGTTTTTTAGAATATTTTAAATTAGATGGTAATATGCAGAATTACACTTTGTTGAACAGCAGAATATACATTCTATTAAATATGTATTACAGCTGTAATATCCTATAAAGGAAATCAGTTTCCTGCATAAAACCTGGGGCAGCAGGGGGTCAAATGGACCTTGTAGATAATAAATAATGCAGTCTTCCTGTTAGTAATCCACAACATAAAGCTGACTATGCATTAGCCAGAGAAAAGGCACAGAAGCAGCTGTTCCCAGACAGAAACCAGCTCAGTTACAGTCTTTTTCTTTATATAAAAAAAAATCAGACAGCAGGAAAGAAAAAAATCAAATATTGACACAACCCTATGGGAGTTAATCAAAATCCCTTTTTTCTTTTACAGCATCAGTAAAAAGAATGAATCTTTATTTGTGTCTGTGACTTTTGAAAGACAGATGTTTAATTTTAAAATGTATCAAATGATGGCAGTTAATTTGTTAGCCCCAGACATAGCTATGAAGGAGGAGAGGAGAAAATATCTTTGTCCCACTATGGCTGTCGTGCCTCTGTGTGGACTTTCTCCAAGCAGATACACCCAGAAAAACATAAGCCTGTGTGGAGGAACAGAAGAGAGCTAATGTGAGAAGGACATATGTCCCAACATGTGTGTTTTGCTGGCCATCTGTCAATTTCTCTGGTGTCATGGTGCCTAAACCCTCCTCCATCCCTTTTTTCTGCAGTCACTGCTGCTGGCCTGGGCACCCAGGGACTTACATCTGCTCACAATTTACATAGCATGAATGACATTAAAGTGACACCAATTCAAAACCAGTATGACTTTTAATGTATTATTTTATAAGAGTCACTGAAACCAATGTTGCAATTATGTGATAGAGAGTAGTTTGAATTCCTTCAATATAGATTTGAAATTTTGAGTTTATGTAAACTATTTACATGGTTACTTTGTTAGTAAACTTCATTTAATCATTAAACACAGTCCCACGCTCTAAGAGAATGTTACCAAGTATACTTTTACTCTAGTAGAAAATGATCCCTTCCCTGGTTATGTGGACGTCTTGCAGTATGTAAAGAATCCATCTCTTTTTTTAGGTCAGTCAGTTGTACTTGAGCTCCACTGGTCGCCTCTGCTCTTCCCTTCCGCCTCACATCTTCTCCTCAGCTGAGAGGGCGTTCCACATGATGCAGCAGGAGAGACGCCCACAGTGTTTTATCCTGAGGTACACCTGCCTTTCCTTTCCATCAGTTTTGTCAGAAACTGAACCAATGGCACCATGGAGACTAAGAGAAAGAAGACAGGTCCAAGATACATTTGTGAAGACAATAAAGCAGGTTTGGGTTATTTAGCATCACCCCAAGCTTTGAACATATAAAAAGGTTATCTTTAGTCATCGAACAATAGAAAAAGAAAGCAAAGCTATGACTATGAAATGAGCTGCTTCAGTTAGATAATCCATCCAAAAATAATCTCTTCGTCATGCACTTAGGAAATCTTCCCCTTTTGGAAGACTTTTGAAAATAAAGATGAGACAAAGCCATAAGCAGTTCTATTGAAATTGATGTCACAAAGCATGTAGGGTGAATTGCTATTTTGTGGAAGAAGGTGTTGTTTTCCCATGAGAACAAAATGTAACTCTCTGGACTCCAAAAGAGTGTTGCTAAAAGAAACCTGAACACACCACCCCCTAGATGAAATCTATTGATATTTGCATCATGATATGGTGATGATTTTCTTAAAGGACTCATAGAATGATTCTATACGGTATTTGGTGCTGGCCCTTAAGGTCTCTGATAGGGTGTGTAACATTGGTTGGACTGAAAATGGCATATTTGCTGTTCTATGAGCCCTAATCCAAGCCTGGTTAAAACGACAGGTTTTCTTCCTTTTATGGTATGCTCATGAATATTTAGATGAGCTGTGCACTGATTAGGATGGTTTACAAGCGAGCATGCTGCTGAGCAAGACGCATCATAGCAACAAGCACTCACTCACTGAAACATAAAAATTGTTGATATGATAGAATGACCAGACGTCCTCTTTTTCACGGATATGTCCTACTTTTCACACATAAAAAAATGTCCGGGGGGATTTCACAATCGTCTGGGATTTTGGTCGACTACATTGCAACACATACTCGAAACACACCAGGCACTCGAACCAAGCCATCAGCTCCGGAGCGACCAAACCTGACCTGGTAATGGCAGCCTGGACACTGTGCTTCCCCCCGCCTGCCTCACCGGCAGTGTTGTCAAAAGTACACACATTTGTTACTTAAGTATAGATACTGCAGTGTTAAAGTTGAAGTATCAACTTGACCTCTTTCCTCAAGGAAAAGTGTAAAATTATGTGCTGCAAAACCTACTTAAAGTATAAAAGTATAAAGTAACCTTTAATAAAAGAGCCAGTTGATACTATATGAATTGAAAACTCAATTTATCGACTATTTCAAAAAATTCTTTGAGGTCCAGTTAGCGGCCCAGCAGTCGACACTTCAATGAAATAAACAATCAAGCCACCCTTCAGCACCAATATCATGACAATATCAGACTGTAAATGAAAAAAAAACAACTAAAAACTGTAGCAAGTAAAAGATTGCTTTTCAGGGTAGTTTATTTAAGTGTTCTCAGTACAAGGCATTTGGTAAACTGGATTTTAATTTGGGGTATCAAAGTAAAGACAGATAACAAATTTGTGCCGTACTTTTCAGATTTCAAATCCTTGAGGAACCATATTCTAAAACATAACATACTTATTATACCTTGTGTTAAGAGATCATGTGAATTCCCTATGGATGTAAATTAATATTTACAGCTGTAATGTGATAACGTGAAAAAGTCTAGAGTGTGAGGTGTGAATACTTTTAAAAGGCATTCTACGTGAGATCAAAAGTGCTGTGGCATTTTTAGAGCTAAATTGTTGTGTAAAGAATTGGCAAGTTGCCCATGTGTTTTACCCACCTCCCTCAGCTGCACACCTGTTAAACACTTTCAGAAAGATTAATAGCTCTGTGCCCAAACCGAGCTGTAGACCTGTTCAGCGTTTGCAGAGATGGATGTTTGTTGGAAGGGTTGCAGATCTGCGCTCTTTGCCCTCGACTGGACCGACGTTGCACCCTGATTGCAATTAAATCCTGTTCCGGCTCTCCAGTGACATTCCCACTGAGTCGTAACCAGTCTGGCAGAGAGTTAATGCGCCCTGGCCACAGGCTATCCATCTCACTTACACATACAAACACACTCACAGTGACATTGCGCTGTGCACCCGCGTGTGCACACGTTTCCATTTTCTCAGACCCTTCCTTGCCCTTTATCTCTGCTTCTCTGGTTTCACTTTTGGCAACAAAGCAATACATGGACCAACAATAAGCCCAACCAGACACACATACATGCCAAAGTACACATACATGTACACACTCCTCTGCTTCTACAATCAATGGCCCAGATCCCTCCTGGGGCAAGTGCTCTAACAAATTGCCCTTAAAATCTAATAAAAACTGTTAAATGAAAAGATAGCAAAAAGACCTTTGGACTTTGAGTAGTAGGATAACATGCACATCCCACCAGCTCACTGAAAGCGTGCTGCAGTCTTTAGTGAGGGTTTCTGACCTTCCCAAGCCATCTGCTTGGTGCTACTATGCATGTCTGATCTCCCTGTGTGCAGAAAGTATCAAAGCATACAGTGTAAGGGAGCCTTATGTCATCCCCAATGCCAAGTCAACAGAAAATGAACGAACAATCTAGGCGCAAAAGTGTGCGGTCTGTCTTTGTAATCTGATGTCAGGAGGAGTAGGTGGAAAACATTGAGTGGGGGGTCCCTGGGGGGGAATGTCTGGTGGGTTGGGAAAATTAACATTAAGGACAGATGACTTACATCCCACACCTACTGTTCTTAAATGTACACAAAGCTCCATTTGAGGTTAGATGTGGCTGTTGTGGGAGAAAAAAAAAGGATTAAGAAAATTACAAGAAAAAAGAATGTTTTAAATTTAATATAGACTAGCAGATCCATACATATTGATATCACAGACTACAGAGACATGCTTGTAATTACCTTAAAGAGTTTTTTTTTTTTTAACCAGTCAGAAAAGGTTTTCTTGTGCTCTACAGAACAGCTATATACTAGCTATACTAAAGAGCCGACGCAGGGTCTAGAGTTAGAATTTCTAGGTGGGTTTGTGGGTATTAAACAACAACAGCAGCAGGTACTTCAACTATCTTTCATTAAACATCTAATTTTTAAAGCATATCCAGTTCTTAGTACCAGCTCTACCCCTGTCTCCCTTTTCACTGCTCTTTGTGCTGCTTGGCCCAAAGAGGAACTTAGTTTTCCTCCCTATCCTTTTTTCTCTTTAGTGAAGAATATCAACACAGTCAAACATTAAACAGATAGAAATTAAAACAATATGCCATTTCAACATCTTGTTTGAAGCAGTGGCAGTTTTAGAAAATTCTCACAGGGGTGTCCAGGCAGGGACCAATATGCACTGAGAGGTGGCTGAAAAATGATAGGGGCCAAAAACATTTTACCGTCAATGTAGACTGATCAAAACAAAGCAGCAGGAAAATGAAAGTTTTCTTGATTTTCAAAAAAATAGAGTTTCAGTAGGGTCCTTGTTAATCAAGATATTTATGCATTAGTGCCATTTAAATCATTTCATGGTTCGACATGATATATACATTAAATGGCTTGATAAATGTTTGTTGTCTTTAGAGAAGACTCCAAGGTGACTGCAGAGATAAACTGTCCCCTAAAAAACCAAAGAACTAATTCATACAAGAACACAGTCCTCTTTATTTCTAGTATATTGTTGAGAAAAAAAATACTACAGTTATATGTGTTCAGCTTTTTTTGATAATATTCCACACCATGGTATCACTGCTGCAACCTTCAGGTTTAGTAAATAACTGCTTCTTTCAGGGGTATAAAATCAAATCCCAGGGGGAGTGACCCCCCCTAGATATGTCCCTGTTTTTTTTTTTGTTTTTTTTCAGAACCATTAATTTATCTTCAATCAAATTCCCATCAGGTCTGAGAAGTTTAATTCCCAGATTAAGAGACATCCGTGCAGCATGATGCAGCCACCATCATGTTGTGGATGTTGTTTTAAAGTGTGAGATTTGTTTTGTTTGTTGTTTTTTTTTTCATAAAACATTGTGTTTTACTTATATATTGATATGGTTTACTTTTCTAACCTACCAGATCAGGTTTGTAGTTTGTAGAAGTGGGAATCCTTTTCCCATTTTGGTTGACTGAACGAAACATTGTAAGATGTTAAAAGCTTGGGATGCTATACTAAAGGTGTTTTAACTTCACATCTCTAGTCTGTGCCTCTATATGATTGTTTCTACATGATGCTGTTTTTAAAGTGATGTTATTTAACAAACCTCTGAGGCCTTTAAAAAAACTGCTTGATTTAGACCGACTTTAAATTAGTCAGTGGTGGATTCTGAAGGAAAGAGATTGCATTAAATTCGAAAAGAGTTTTTTAAAAAACATAACTCATTTTTCCTCACTTTTACAATGGGGAAATTATTTTGGCTGATCTATCAGATATAATCTAAACGGCAATTATTTACAATTGTTGTTAATCTGTACAATGTGTATTTAAAAAAAAAAGCAATGAAAATCTTTGCACAGCACTGCATGAAAGACTTTGACAGAAGATTGTCTCTTTCTGTCATTTCAGTGGTGAGAGTGGTTCTGGGAAAACTGAGGCATGTAAGCACATTGTGAGACACTTGACAGCTCGCTCCAACCCCAAAGGCTTTGGGTTAGAGCCCAGAATGAAACACGTAAGTGGAATGTGGCTGACTGCAAAATTATTGAGAAGATAGTCAAATAGCGGTTCACTGTAGGCTACATGATTCCATAACACACACTGTAATGAAAGAGGTGTGTCAATGATATGACTGTTAATATCATATCAGATGACATTTTTCTTCTTCTCTGTGGTTTTCACTGAGAAATCCCTACTGTGAGTTCCCCTGCCTGCCCTACATGCTTGCATACTTGGAATTTATATATATATATATATATATATATATATATATATATATATATATATATATATATATATATATATATATGTTTGTATATACGTAGTGATATGCAATATTTTCTGTATGCCTTTGATATACACAGTTAAAGCTTTTTTTACTCTTTGATGTCAATACACTTACTTATGCGTTACTTATTTCCTTTGCTTGATTGAAGGAAAAGCAGACCACACTCTGAGTTCAACATCAGTACTATTGTTTAAAACTCCTGAAAATTCATCCTAAAAGTCACCACTTAGCATACTGTATTATGCCTTTTTTCTGTTTCTAGTCGTTGAGGTTCATACTCACAATGGGCGACTCACTAGTCTGCTTTTGCTCTTATGAAATAAAAAATCAGTGCAACCACAGAGTGCTCTTGTCTGATTGTTATGTAGGCAATATCTGGGTCAACATTTTCATTCTGTGATGCAGAATAAGTCTCACGGAATAGACTTTTACTGGCACCTAGTGGTTGGAAATAGGAATTGAGACATTGCTTAGTTTTTTTTTTTTTCTTCATATATTTATATTGATATTTAGCCTAGTGCTAGTTATTATCAGTATATTTCTAATCCTAAACTTAAACTAAGGTTAATTCACACCATTCCTCTATAAACTTACTTTATAAGGTTATAAAAGAGGGTCTGCATAGGACAACCTTTTGGTTCCCATAAGGCCTATTGTTCCTCAGAAGGTTAGTAAATATATAGAAAACCGTCCTAAATGGGTCACATAAAAAATTGCACCCACACATTCATCATGCTATTTGTAGTTAGGACCATGTCTTCCTTCCATTAATTTGTACGTATTTTCAACACTTTCTATAGCCCAATCCTGAAAATAACACTTAAACCTTGTTTTTGTTTTTATTTTTTTTTTAGATTTTTTGTCATTGTTTTTCATTCAAGTGTGTTAAGCATTGTGTTGCAATGAAAGTTAATGCAAAGCCTAATTTGAGCTCTTTGTTGACATGTACAGGTAAACTGTGTTCTGGAAGCCTTTGGCCACGCAAAGACTCCAAGGAACACTAACTCAAGCCGTTTTATTAAGCTGCTAACAATCCAGTTCTGTGAGAAACAAAGGACAATACTGAGAGGTAATGCAACATACACTTCTGGATGCATAGTACTAAGTCTGAATGGACTGACTATAAATTAAAAGCCTTTTTTTATTCATATAAAGAAAAAAAACCTTATGAGAGTTGGCTCTATCATTCTTAGGCATGATTTCATTTCACTTTAATTTTTTTTTTTAATTTTTTCTCCTTAGATTTTGTAAATTATTTAAAAAAACATGATATTAATGATAGTAATAATAATATTTTTATATTTATCTTGTATTGCTCAATGCATGACTGTAAAATGGAAGGAAAATATTACATTTCTCTCTTTACTTTGAACTCCTCATGATTATCCATTCTCAGTCAAAAATAACCTTCAAAATCTCCTTATCCGTCACCTGTGTTATTTAAATCACCATGCAGTTGTTCTGTGACAGCCATCGAATACATATAAGTCATTCAAACCAAGGAATACAGCTCAAAAGTCCTGATTGAAAATTATTCACAAATCTAAAGAAATTATATTTTACTGATTCCTGAGCACCTTTTAACCCATTATCTAAACATATATACAGTAGGGCACAGTTATAAAACAATTACAACATGAGAGTTTACCTAAACTAGCATACTTTGTAAGAAGAGCACTCATTAGAGAGGAAGCTATGGTGAAAAAAATTGTGTTTTATAAAGGAGTGATAAATATGCAACATTTCACCTTATAGTTTTTGAATGAGAATTTAAAGATGGTCCCGTTATACACTGTTACAGAATGTGCTGCAAAAATGATCTAGAAATAAGTAAAAACGTCTTGCATTAAAAGTATTTAACCTTGCTTTGAGCAGGTTATTAAGATGAGTTGCCTGTGGATTTAGACTTTTTGCTCCTAAAATAAGACAATTAGATAATACGCACTTGAAATAAGACAATGCATAGTTTTTTTTCTTATTGTGATTGTAAATAGTCTTGTTCCATTTGCAAAGTGTCTCATTTCCCTCCTCAGTTTAAGAAAAAATTGTTTTAATCAAAAATGACTTATTTAGATTTAATTTTTTGGGCCTTTGTAATGGACTTGAATCTAGAGCAGAGGTTCAGTCCTATTCAAATACCTGACCTATTGATGTTTACACCAAGAGAAAGTTTAATTTTATTCCACTTCAAAGAATTTACTGTTGCGCATTTCTCTCTGGCAAAAAACGTTGTTCAAATTGAATGTTCCAACATAGAGAATGTGGAAAAGTTTGCATTTTTGAAAACCACTAAATTAGTTTCCCTCTGAAACATGTAATGGTTGAGAATCACCACTAGGATGCAGTAACAGCTAAAAAAAATCTTTTTAAGCTATTTTTGTTTTCATTGCTCCATTTCTATATTTTCCCCTGTTGTTTATTTTTAGCTTTAACTGTTTTAATACCTGCCATTAAACAAAAACTACAAATATACAGTTTCATTAATAATTATCATAGTTATATGTACTGACATAAACCTCATGTGTCATGTCCAAGCCCATGTGTCCACCTACATGCTGGAGAAGACCCGTGTGGTTCACCTGCCGCCCCAGCATCAGAACTTTCAAATCTTCCATCTGATGGCTGAAGGCCTCTCCCCTGAGGAGAAGAGTGAACTTTATCTTAATAATGTCCTGGCTCATAGGTATGTTGTCTTGAATAAATAATAACACATTTAATGAAAAAAGATAAAAGGTTAAAATGGTTTTATAAAAAAAAAAAAAAAAAGAACTGTTGATATTTAAGATAATGGATTAAGCTGGGAAACTTAAAATACTGACTAACGTTTTCTCAGATGTATTTGTGCATGTTAAAACATTTCTTAATGTTGCTTCCTTCCACGTCTTTATCAACAGATATCTTAATGCAGGAACTCTGGGTGTAAGCCCTCCTGTAGCCCCAGCTTCTGCTCAGAGCAGGGAGCTTCTGGTTGGAGTCAAACAAGCCCTGCGAGCCCTGGGCTTTAATAAACAGGTCAGAGATCTGCAGGTTTTCTTTGAACAAATACGTAGACGAACAAAAAAAAAAGTCTACATATCAAACATGTTTGAGTCAGAAGTGCCTAATTGGTGCATCTCCTTAAAGCAGAATATCATTGAAAAGATCATTATTTTTGAGTACTTCATTTTCTATAGTAAAACTGGTAAACCGCTATATAAGAGATACATTTCTTATCTGGCCAGAAACTTTTTTTGCTGAAATAGAATATTTGTATGCAACAAATCTATTCAATTCAATATATATATTCTGTCAAATATAATTACTGAAATAAACTATTGCAGCATTTTTTTCCTGGATGCATCTTAGGTTTTTATGTTTGTTAGTCCAGCAGGCAATTAGGTTGAAATTGATTGTTTGTCTTTATGTCCAATCAAACATTTTAAATGGTAAGACCAGAAAATGTCTGATATAAATGAAATATAGAAATTCAGGAAATGTTATAACAAGGATTGTCCTCCCAAAACTGGACAGCTGACAGATGAGAAGCCACTGGAAACTTCAAATGTTTCAAGGCACCTCATAAAAAATCAAGTATCTATGCAAAGATCTAAAATTATCTTAAACAGAAATTAATATAGCGAGCCTGTATTATCAGGTTGTATTCTTAGATACCGATTTATCAGCAGTGGATTGTCCATTGTCTCATCTTTTATTCCAGCAACAACCAATGCATGCTGGTATGGCATAAGGGACAAATGAATACAGCAATGGATATTGGTGTTATCATACAACAGTACTAATCAACTGAAAAAGACAGTAAGGTAGACAGAAAGGAGTGGGAGAGTGTTAGCAGAAGTGATGGACCACCCATTGGTCTCTGTCTAAGCTCTCATCAAGACACGACTCCCAGTCTGGCCCCAAGGGTCAATCGTCATTAACGCTTCTTATATCACTGCTTTGCTCACCCTCTCTCTTCTTCTTGTCCTCTGTGCTCATGGGAGGGGGGGGGAGTCGCTCCGTGTATCGAGTGTCAGACAGAGACTAATGCTTGTGTTTATCTCCGAAGTATCAGCTCCAATATCCTGTTCTGAGAGAGTGCACACACACAAATGTATTCACACATGCTTACTTGCACACACCTTCCTATCCAGCGATCCCCCTCTCAGATATTCACAGGAAAGCATAAAGTGGGGTTTTCCCTCTGTTAGAGGGCAATGAATGAGGGAGAGTGTGACAGGGGAGAAGGGCAAGAAGAGAGAAAATTAGACACTATAGATCCAGACAATTGCAATAGCTTTGGTTCTCCTTTTGTTTTTGTTTATAGCAACATAAACTATTTTTTTCAGAAAATTGAAGAAAATTTAGATATCAAATAAACATGTCTATTCCTAGAAAAATGCAATTTTCAAATAAGAATTGAAATCTTTCCACTTTAACCCATCTAAATATAAAGCAAGCCCCTGTATAATTCCTACCTGACCTGTGAAATATTTTAAAAATAGGGTTAGATATCTCAAAATGCAACAGATTAATAAATAAATACCAAGGTTGAAAAAAAACTGTTCTTTAATCTGGAAACCTTTATGAAACTATTTCTAAAGCTTTAGGATAGCAGTTTATTCCATTGAATTTCTGCAGCACAAAGTATAAACAAGGGAAATTTGAAATGTTCAAAATATGTTTTTTTTAATGTATGAATCTGATTCATTGCACACAAAATCTGAAATGTGAACCTTTCAAATATTACTTTCTTTGTACTCCATTATTCCTTAACTCCCCCCCCTTTTCTTTTCTTTTTTTTTATCTAGGAGGTTGACTCGGTATTCACGCTGCTCTCCGCTGTTCTCCATATTGGCGACCTGCGTTTCACTGCCCTGAAAGATACCAATTCAGCCTTCCCTTCTGACTTGCAGCTGCTGGATAGAGGTCTGTACTTCTGTCACAGCTGGACCCTCATTACCTAATTTCCTCTAAAACCTTACTCACTGTGAGAGTGGAACCCCTCATGCTTCCTTATCTTGCTCCACTCTCACTTTTCCCCTTGAACATCTAGTTTAGACATAGCTAAGGGCTAGACAGTCACATGTTTGGCAACCAGCAGCTGTCTAAAAGTGTGTGAGGTATACTCCCCCTGTTAGAGCCTCTTATTTTCGCAGCCTTATTTTGCCATTACTCACTTATTCCCTGTGCTCGTGCGACCCCCGACCCTTTACAAAGTGGTAAACAGCAGCGTCATCGTCCAGACGGGAAAGAGTAAGCCGTTGTCAGGGAGATGTGAAGTCATGGCTGGTGATGTCAGGAAAGTGTTTCTGGGTTTGCCGTCACCTGTTTGTGCCACTTGTTTATGGATTATGCTCACAAGTAGAATGATGAGTAATCGCTGTCAGCTCTTCCCATCAGTTGAGCAGGAATCAGCTGTAGCACGGCTTAATTGTTGTCCTGTTACTATAGCGGAGCGTCATCATCACAGCACACTGGGGTCTGGAAGGTTATCAGATTTACCTTTTAGATTCTCCATTATTTTTAATGCTGTTATTTTCAGGTTTTCATCCTGTTGTTTTTTCTCTCTCTTGTCCTCTTCCTAGTTGCTGGATTGTTGCAGGTGTCAGCTAATGATCTAAGCACTGCCCTCACCTCTGACGTTCAGTACATCAAAGGTATTGAACGAACATCCTTTATCAGTGTTTTATTCAGGTTTTAATTTTGATGGAAGGAAATATGTCTGATACTAAAGAAACCATAAATGCTAGAGCTGATCTTATTGGTCAACAGTAGTCTGAGCACTTCCTGTTCTCTTCAGACAACCTAAGTACTCTTGCTTAAGTAAGTAAAGCTAAAAAATGTCATATTGTACTCCCTGGCATATTTACATTTAATGTATTAACCTTACCGACAATTTTCTCCTGAATGTAAGTAAAATGGGTATTTTGGAGTTGGCCGGCCAAAGCACTGACTGGATCTGATGGAGAATCTGTAGATGATTAGGGTGGTGACAGAGAGCCCTTCTAATCATCAGAAGTTTTAAGTGTTTAGTTGATGTAATGCCAATTGCCGACTTTTTTTTCACTGATTATTGAGACTGGTGTTGTTATTTTTCCACATGGCATTTTTGTTAGAATAAAATACAAACACCACTGTTTTATATATAGTTTTATAATTCCCACCAATACACTGTATTACTTTAAAGGTGTGGACTGCTATCTTGAAGTGAAATGGAGTGTATTTCATTCAAACAAACACTATCCTGCGTCACTGCCAAAAAAATTAATGCAGATGTAACCATGACATCTGAAGTGAGTTGAAGTCTACAAGCTGGCATTTACAGTAACAAAAGCTAGTGTTAACAGCAGCTTTGAAAGCTACTAAATTCATGTAAACCCACAATTCTAGTTTATGTTTGCAGTTATGTTCTCTATAGTAAGGAGCGACACTGTCTAATTAAACCAAATAGTAAAAGTTAGCTTTACACTAATTTAGGCAGTACGGTTCACTTACACATCAAGGAGAAGCACGGCGACTTCAGTGTCCCTTTTAAAAACTTTCTCCTTCATTAGCTCCTTCCACCTGGAGAAGGCTTGCTCTATGTTTATCTTAGTTTTTTTTTTATTTCTCCATTTTACAATCTTTTAATTTCTCTTGTTTTTGCTTTCTTGTGGTGCTGCTTGCATATTGATGGGACTTCATTTGTGCAAACTTTCATTTGTTGGGTTATCATCCCAAAATAATCTTCACTGCTGCCTCTCAATCATACTTAACTACCAGCAATGGGAAACATGATGTTTTTTCGCACTTTAAAAGTATTTTATCCCTCGCTAGCATCTGTACTTTTAAGATGGCAGACTGTGTAGGCACTTTGTTACATAGACATAATATGAGCAGACCGCACATCGATTGCTTACGCCTATGGGCGCTGACGTGATTTGGTGGCGCCATCTTGGGGTGGTCGACAGCTCTGCTGAGTGTAATGTGCTAATCAGGCACAGAATTAATTTTGATCAACTTTAACTTGCTTAACATTGAACAAATTTTTACTTTTTTTGTTGCTGAAAACAAACATATCTCTCACTTTATATATATATATATATATATATATATATATATATATATATATATATATATATATATATATATAAATAAATCAGCGTGCATGGACTGTCCTACAGTTTTGCAAGCCATGCACCTAAAGAGATTTCCGTTTTTCCTAAAATGAAAAAAAGCCTATTTAAAGAAGTATTTGATTGTTGCAAAAAGGTGTAGATAGGTTGTTAGGGTTAAAACAACATCCATGACACAGGAAACTGATATATTGACTCAGATTGTGTGCACAAGGAAGGCATTCGATATCACACTCACAGCATACAAACATTACGTATAAACATATTGCATGAATACTGAAGTTTAATATACAATACTCATGAAATGTTTCAAAGCAGAACCCAAATGGAGGAAGGAGGCAAGAGTCAGGCTAATAAATGTAAACCAACCAACTCAAAAATAAAATATAAATTCAAGAGGTGAATCAGAAATAATACATTACCAGAAGAGGAAAAGAAAACAAAATGGCGTAACCAAAAGCTGATTAACTGAGAGACATTTAGGCTGGAGAAATAAAATGGCGAACAACTGAAGCTGAAATGAGGAAATTGGGGAAAGTAACTGATATAATACATAGTGAACAAGAATATAGATTATAAAGAAAACATAAATCCAAATCCCCACAGATCACAATATAATGTGACATGTTTTTTTATGATTTAAACATTGCATAAATTAACAGCACAAATATTTATTTTTTTGTCAAACCATTATCCCTTGAAAAACAAAGATGTGGCTTAAATGATTATTTTTGTTGCCAAGTAAGCTCACTCTTCCAGAGAATCAGCTTACATTTTACCTCAGAGAGAAGTGCTTAGATCATCTTATCCAATTCATAAATTGTAGTGTTCAGTTAAAGTTGATAAAGTTTATCCTGCATCATTTGGCATTTTGCATAACAGTCATTGTTTTTTACAAAGACACCTTATTTATGTGATTTAAGTATATAAAAGGTCGCTCTCTTTAGGGGGTTTATAAAGCAATACTTAATCTGATTTACTTTGGTTCTTGTTAATGTAAAGCAAAATAAAATATTTGTTTTATTTTAATTTTATGCATACAGGCAGCAAACAATCTGCCCATGGGAGAATTGAATTTTAAAAGTTATTTTTGAAAATAGACTAGAGTAGAGACTTAAATACAAAAGTAAAACAAGTTTATTTTAGTTTAAATTGCTAATTTAAAAAAAGAAAGAAAATTAGTTAGAAGTTAAATAAAAAGCCCTTGTTTCATAATATGGCTAATTGTTAATGTTTTCTCCCCACAATTCTGTAAGTAATTAGTAGGGCTGCAACTAATGATTATTTTACAAATGAATTCATCCTTCGAAATAAAATCAGATAGCCAACGGTTCCTTAAAGAAGACTTTTTATTGAAATTAAACCAGGTGAAAGTCAAACCTTTCCACATGAGGAGTTCTGGATAGAGGATATTTACAGACTTTTTAACCTTAAATGCAAAATGCATATATATATTTTTTTTTTTTACAATTTAGGTATAGATGCTGCTCTAAGTGGGTCACTCTGTCAGCTATAGACACATTTTACAGTCTATATTTTCCACTTAACAAGTAATCGATTACTAAATTAGTTGATGATTATTTCAGTAATCGATTAATCAAGATTAATCCAATTAATTATTTCAGCCCTATAATTAATATATTATATAATAGAAAGTTGAGCCAATGAATGTGAATGTATTTAAAAGGAATCTTCCAGAAAATATGTTTTTGAAGCAAAACCAAGAATCTAAGAATTCTTAGAAAATGTCAGTATTTCAAATGCACAATAAGGAACACTTTTGTACAGAAATGTACGTATGCCCTCTTAAAGTTACTTCCTTGAACTTTACAGTAACATGCACTCAGTATTTGCAGGGGTTTCTATTGCATATATAACCGCATTGGTCACAGTGGTGGAGTTCGATATCCTCTGGTTCTTCTTTTCAGGAGGCATGACATTCTCTCAAATTCCATGAAAGATAGCTGCACTGACATTAAGCTTAATAAAACACAGGGACCAACACCAGTAGATGATATAATACCTTAAGTGGAAACGTCACATTATCTTAAGTTGCTTGGATTCTTGGATCTTGATTCCCAAAGCAAATTGAACATTTTCTTTGGTCCTTGGGGGGGAAAGCCAAGTCCTTTTTGTTCCCAGTGAAGTAGCTTTTCACATTTCTCTGGTCCAGGAGTGGCTTTACATAAAGGAATGAATGTGACAGTTTCAGCTGCCCTTATTTAATAGAAGTTGAATAAAACACGTAACAGAAATGTTAATTCTGAAAGGGCCAGATATAATCTATGGCCTTGTTTTTTCAGGGGATGTGATTACTAGATGCCACACAGTAGAGATGGCAGAGCAGTACAGGGACCAGCTTGCTAAATCCATCTACGGACGCCTCTTCTACTATTTAGTCAACAGCATCAACGACTACCTTCAAGGGCAGGAAGATATCATTGGGTAAGTGCTATGTATGTTTAAATTATCATAACAAAAAAATTCTAAACTTCCAGTGAAAACCAATCGTCATGTGTCTAACACTATTGAAATGCTGCATCAATGCAGGGTGAAAGTTTTTAATACTTTGCATACATTACGTCAATGATTAGAAATGCAAGTGAAAATGTAACAAGCAGACACACCCAAGGTCCAGACAGCTTGGAGGTCTTACAAAACACACTAAAAAAATAAAAAAAAAAACAAGACACAAACACTCCCAGGTGGAGGTCATGGGATCCTTAGTTTGCTTGTTGTGGAGCCTTATCACACCCCGACACCAAACCCACACTGCATCTTCTGGAATGTGTTTGTGCCTTGCCTTGTTTACACACATACCACTACATATAATAAATTTGTCAACCACACATTCACGGCTCTCCCATTCTTTCTGATTTTGCTGCATATACACCCTAACATGTCTGACTGCTGGTGGAGCATCACAACAAACTCAAACTGATAGATAATAAGCTGTGTTGTTTATTAATTGTATGTTTTATTTTGTGTTTTGTTATTGTTTTATCCCTTCCAGTGATCCCGCTATGGAAATTGGTATCTTGGACATGTTTGGGTTTGAAGAATTTCAAAGAAATGAATTTGAACAGGTGAGATGGGATTTTCCTTTTAGATTTATGCAATTCAAAAAGGAAAGTTTGTACAACTCCTCGCTTTGCTGAACTGAGGAATATTCAAATTGTTGAAATATTTGGAGCTATTATCTGTTTAAGCCTGGACATTTTTGTGTGTAATTGTAATGAATGAGCTGAGGTCTGTGGCTGACTGTGGCGTGATTTTCAGCTGTCCTCAGATGAACTGATAACTGAAACGATTGCTACAGTCTCAAACCCATCTGTGTCTCTTCCCCAGCATTTGTTAGGAGATAGGAATCATGTTTGTAGAAAAATATTTTCTCTAACCAACACATAACAGTTAAAGTAAAAACATGATCACTTCATACGAAAACACCTCATTTCAGCGAACATCGCTAAACATAACAGAAAACATTGCCAAGAATACAAAGGTTAAAGATGGTGAGCCTAAAGCAATCATAAGTATAGGTTTGTTTTATGTTTTCTGTCCAAACCCAAAATTGATTTTAAGTAGAATAAGCAGAAAAAACTCCCAACATTTATAGAAAACACAACAATTTAGTGTAAGCAACAGTAAAACACAAAGCAGGAAACGTTTATGCTATTTCTTTCAGAGATGCACTGATCTAATTTTTGTAGCTCATTTCTGTTACATCTAAAAGTAAGATGAAATAAATTTATGATCCCTTATTGGTTTCCTGAGTTTTCTCTTTCAAAAGCAAAAGTACTGTCTCTAAAATGTATGGTCATTTCTTTCTAATACTGACTTACAGGAAAAAAGAGTGAAATGATGTAGACGCTTCAAAGTAAAAACCATCTGGTTAGCTTGACCGCTTGTACTCCTGCACCCTTTTTTTTTTTTTTCAAATAAACTGGTTTCATGCTCCACTCATCAACACTGTAGAAACTACTCCACATATGAATTGATCGTTCATTGGTCCAGTAATTGGGTGCTCATTGGCACAGTGGGTAGTACTGCTGCCTTGCAGCAAGAAGGTTCTGGGTTCGATTCTCTTTCTGCATGGAGTTTGCATGTTTTCCCTGAACATGCATGGGTTCTCTCCGGGTACTCTGGCTTCCTCCCAGTCCAAAAACATGACAGTTAGCTTAATTGGCTTCTCTAAATTCTCCTCCGGTGTGAGTGTGTTTGGCAGTGGTTTGTTTGTCCTGTTTGTCTCTATGTTGCCCTGCAATGGACTGGCGACCTCTCGATGTACCCCACCTCTCACCCATTGGCAGATGAAAGAGATGGGCACCAGCACCCCTGGCAACCACATTTGGGATTACGCATGTTAGAAAATGGATGGATGGTCCAGTAACAGTACACCATAGGTCAACTGGTTGGAGATCCCTGATTTAGAACCTAGAATAGATGGTTTTGGAAGTGTCTTACAGCAGTGCCTTCTCCTAAGCTTTATCTAAATCATTTGGTTTTATGCTATGAAATCTAAAGCCTGTACAACTTTTTGTCCTTTTTGGGCCGATTTTCCAGTAGTGCGAGAATTTTTTGGATCGGGCCGAGTTTCAGGCTGAAACAGTACACCATAGGTTAACTGCCTCCTGCATCATATAATATACAGTGTTGTGTACTGTAGTATACAGAGCTGTAGCTGGGTGCAATGATATTGTACAGTGTATGCGCAGCTTAACATGTCTGTACCATAACATTGAGATGCAAGGTTTCTGCCCAATAAAGCAGTTTGTGTTGTCTGGTTTAAGATGGCCCATCTATTTTTAGTTCATTAACAACCTCACCTTTCTTATCATCTTCATCTTATCATCATCCTCATGTCCTGGGCCAAGATCTGGCATGCAGCTCCAGACAATGGATGGCTATTGGTCATTTTGATTATTTTTCCTTTCCCCCAGTAATCACTTCATCTACTGAGATCTACTGTCTTGTTCCAAATTTCCTTTGACAGGTCTTTTTTTTCTTGTTTTGGTGGCAGAAAGATCAGGGGAGTCTATAAATGATAGATGGATTGATGTGGGTGCAACATGAATGCAAGAATAGTCTGCAGGAGCTCAAATTGTTGAAGTGTTGTAGGACATCAGTTAAATCATTGTGCATTGTGTACATATTTCCACGTTTGGCCTTTTACAACTGTAGTTTATAATGTTTAAGAGACTGGTTACTGTTTTGTATGAGGTAACTACCCCATATGAAGCAGCAGTTTCTTCCAGCTTTTACTCCAGTGAGTGTTTCTCTTAGCTTTTAAAGCCTTGTGTGACAGTGTTGTTTCTGTTGGCGTGGCAGAAGGATAAGTGGCTTTACTCATCTGGATACTCTCCAAACCAAGCGTAAGTGAGGGGGTTTGTGTGACTCTTTTGTTTCAAGTAATTGTAAGTGCCAAGAGATAAAAAAAAAGCAATACAATCAGAAAAATTATCCAAAGCTATTTAAATTCTTCATTCAGAGTTGCCCTTTTGATATCACCACTCATTATGAACCATTTGCAGAGTAGAAGATGTGAAGCACATTTTAGATCAACAAACACAAGGCTCTCTTATTTTAGAGATGTCACATAAGTGATATGCAAGCTCTGACATGTTTGGATCTTCATATGCCCCAAGCATGAACTCACAAGTACACTACATAGGCGTGGCATGATCAAAGTTATTAGAGCTTGTTAATTAGAACTGTTTGTCAGGCTCTGTTTTATCTACTCAGCATTTTTTTAATGAGCTAACTCAATCAACCACCTGCTGAGACTAAGCTATTAATGGGCTAGACTCTCTGGGAGACAAACAAAAGACAAATCCAAAGAAAACAAAAACACAATAACAATGATCCTCTGCTACAAACAATTATTTTCCTATTTCTCAAAGTAAGGGTGGGGGTAACCCGAAATTGTGGTCTTAGCAATGTTGCTCCACAATAATAACATGATTTTGAAAGGAAAGCAAAATCATTCCTGTTGAGGTTCCCAAACGGTAATAATATCAGAAATTTGACTTGAATGGACACCCATTCAATTTTCAATGTGTTTTCTCCTAAGTGAAAGTCAAGGGCATAATTAAACCATTTCATTCAAGCAGGATCTGAATGAAAAGACAGACAGTATGCTTTTGTTGTTATTTATTTCTTTCTGAAAACAAAAGCAGAACAAATTCTGTCATGTTGGAGTGCTGTCTCTAGAATCACTCTCTGTAGAAGGGTGATTGGAAACCTTATTATTTATTAAAATGGTTACATTTCATACAAACTATTGGAGAATTATAGATTTATATATTTAATTGTTATTTCCTCCATTAAACAAATGCCATATGTCATCTAACAGAACAGATTAAAATATTAAACTAAAGGCTTAAAAATATATATTTAAAAGTAGCAGTCTATGGTGCACATTCTATATTTCATCACATTTATCAAGCTTAATATTAGCTACATCCCAAAATTAAGACACAGGCTATTCCTGCATGTAATTTACAACATACTTATGACATCAGTTTTCAGTTATTACATGGCCTTTGTAATTATTTGCATGTTTGAACATGAGAATGTCTGCAGAAACTTGAGGCATTCATCTGCCTAATGGCGAAAAAAATTATTCTATTTCTTTAAGTGAGCTGATCTTTAAAATAAAAATGCTGTATGCTAAATAACTACACCATACCCACTACCTGCCTAAACTACTGAGAGTATGTTGCATGTTATCATCCCTGTGTTTTCACTAACTTTAAAAACAATACAGCGTATAATCTCAGTAGATTAATACATGTTTCTTGTATACAGAGTGGCTCCTGATAAAGATGCTGGCCTAGGATGACCTTTTAATAAAATACAAGAGATACAGGGTTTAAAAAAGGCATTGAAATGGTGTGTTTTTTATTTGAACAATTTCTAAAGAAAAGGCTTCAAAAAACAGAACTGTTAATGATGCCTGGAAAAATTAGTCCAATGTTTCTTTCCCCATTTATTACAGAAGAAGTAAGTCAATTGAGTGATATAGTTTTAAAGGTGCCTTGAATCATTTAAGTTCAATTCAAAAATACTTTTTTTTATCCCTAAGGGATAGGAAATAAATGGACTCTATTAAGACTCTGATGGTATTAAATGTACTGTATATAGACAAACCAAATAATGGCCATTCAAATTGCCATTTAAATCCATGATTTCATCAGATCACGGCTTTTCCATGAAAATCTGTCTCAAGGTGGTCTGGCATCTCAGTATAAAAATCAACAGGTTTCACTTGTTTTATTGGTTTTTGTTCAAAATAGACTGGTTGAACCAGGCTATTTTTCAAACAACTTGCTCACAGTTTTTGGATCGTTATTTATGCAAAGATATTTTAGAAGCTTAATTTAATATTTTTGCAGATATCATGTGAGAGCAATACATAAAAATGAAAAAATGCGAGAATTTACAAAGTTTAGAATAATCATGTAGGCACTAAAGATTTGAATCTAGAAAAAAATTGCAGAAGCTGAATTAGCTTATATACATTGAGCCGTATCAAAGTCCTTAGATGTATAATTTTTCTACGGACATACCACATACAGATATTACATTTGATCTTGACTGCTGCATCTGTCAGTTTATAGCCATGTAATTATTGTAGGTACAACCAGCTTCATAATTTAGGAAAATAAACCACATTATACAGAAAAAAAAGTATCTCAGCCAAACAGTATCCTAATGTCCACTAAGTGATAACATATTAACTTGTTAGAGACCATATTCTGCTTCTTGAAACCTTATACAGAATGGATCTTATTTTTCAGTGTGGCTGCTCGGTTGTTGACGGCGGTGCACATAACTTTCTTTTTAACTGGGAGGTATTAAGGTGCTGCTTAAGTGGAGTCAGGTAATTCAAGTGCCTTGAGATGACATGTGTTGTGAATTGGCACTATATAATTAAACTGAATTGAATTGAGTCATGTAATGTCAGTGTGTGATACATTTGTTTCTCTAGTCAGATTTAAATTTAGATGCCTGAACAAATGCATCAAGATTCCTGATTGACTTACATAAATAGTCTTAAAAAGTGGTCCACAATACATTTGAAGTGTGATTAGTGCTGCTTAGACACATTAAATATTAGTGTCAGATTCAGATTTTCGATGCGCACAAAAAAAGTTGCAATTGCATTCAAAAAATAAACATTTGTAATTTTTGGTAAGCCTGTTAAGCTGGCAAATTTAAATTAGATTAAATAAAAGCATTTAAATTAGATTTAAATGCCTTAGTCTTCCCATTGTATTCACAAGTGATGCTTCCAACTTCAGCTTAATGTATGCAACTTGTGAAAAAGCTGAAGCTACATACATCTCCAAAGCCTCTGTAGTGACATGGCATTTAAATGTTTGCTTCCATAGGAGAGATTTTAGCCACTCACTTCTTTAACATAGTGGACCAGCTGACAGGAAGGCTTCATAATGTGTACACAGTCCACAGGGTGTCCCCTTTAATGGCTAATTTCCCTTTAGCTCTGTTACATGAGTAGTCACTTTACTTCTGGCCCATTGACTACCACAGCAGGATGTGTTTGAGGTTGTATTTGTTCCTTTGTTTGCTTTCAAAACATTGAGCAGCCTGTCTCTGAGGAACTACATGGCGTGTGCTGAGATACGTGTTTACCGTGTTCTGTGTGTGCATTCCAGCTGTGCGTGAACATGACCAACCAACGGCTGAGGCAGTATGTCTCTGAGGTGCTCTTCCAGCAGGAGCAGGCTGAGTGTCTGCAGGAGGGTATCACCATGGAGATCCCCCTCTCCAGCAGCAACCACGGCGCCGTGCTGGACTTCCTTCTTCAGGTTAAATAATGATCTGGTTTGGAAAGGTCTCTTCCATTTTGATCCAGAGTTCTTACGATATTGATATTATCTCTCGAAGACTAAGTAAAACCCTCAAGGTCATTTTGACACCGGTGTAAATTTTTTGTAGGCTCTGGGATCTTCTCGTTAAGAGCAAAAAAAAAAAAAAAAAAGATTTCATTTCAATATAAAAAAAAATAAATAAAAATAAATGAATAAAATAAATAATATAAATAAAAATTATTAAATTATTAAAACTAAAATTCTTCATTAGGGCAAAACCAATAAGGAGAGGACTTGTCATTTAGCAATTTGTCACCTACCTGTTTGCCAAACCAGATAACAGAGTTAATATTATTTGTGAGTTAATAATATTATTTATGAAAAAGCCCTTAAAATGGATGCAGTTGTTTTATTATAATTGTTTATCTATATCTGCTACTGTGTGCTTTCATTTCAGTTCAAATAGATTTAACCGCTGAGGGAAAAATTTAAGATATTTTTTAACAAAAATAAATTCTATAATAGAGTATTACATCTTTAGAGAAGAGCTTTGCATCATTAGATGGTAGCGTTGTGTGAGCTGAGCACACGGGAAACACATTTTGATGGGGGACCTCAAAATGACACCATCATTGGGTGTGTGAAGCTAATATTGCAAAGGTTTGCATTTGCTTTTGTTGTCTGGGAGGCTTACATCTTCTCTGTTGCTGATACAAGAGATAATATTTTTTGAATCTCTTTACAATCTTTGAAAAAATCTGCAAAAAGAATGATAATCAGCAAGCTCTAAAATCAGTTAGTTAATTTTGTATTAATTAAAATAAGTTTTGAAACAAAGGATAGCATGTAATCATATTTTTTATAGTGTGTTTTTGTTTTTAATATACTTGGGGCCTTTTTTCTGGAAAAATAGCAAGTTGTGGGGACCGACTGCTCCTTGTTGTGCCCCCATGACAGAAATCATTGTTTTTTGGTCAGGGGTCACATCTAGGACTAAGATGTGAATTAAAAGTAGGTTGGGCTTAAGGTTAGGCATGAAAATATAATAGTTAGGTTTAGGACAAGGGTTACGGTTAGGCTGAAAAAAAAAAAAAAATGGAAGTCAGTTGAAAGGTCCTGCAAAGATAGTGATCCTAGTTTGTTAGTGTGCATGTGTGTAGGGGGGTGGGGGTATTTTCTACAGGGATCAATAGAAATGTCAAGAGGAAGTATGCCTTACTACAACCAAATGTGCTTGTAAATATGGCCAACATAAATAACATGTGAGCTTTTGTTTGTTCTGCTCCAGAGGCCTCAGGGACTGCTGTGTGTGCTGGATGAAGAGAGTCAAAGCTTACGGCCTGCAGAGCAGAGCCTTTACAAGAGGCTGTCCACCCAGCTGGGCTCCAGTTCAATTTGTGGGCTTTCACTCACCACCAAGGATGGCAATGGGAACCCCCCACCCAAAGACCAGGGACCAGCCTTCACTGTCAGCCACTATGCAGGAGAGGTCTGTCTGTTCTAATGAATAATGTCCATACAGATCAGTCATATCTTAATAACCCCTGACAACTCTGTCAATCTTTGTGTAACTTACGGTTCTGCTTAGGAAGTCTGCCATTTGTTTGTTTGCTAATTTAACTATTTGAAATTGATGATTGTTTTGCATTTTCCAGTAAAAATTTCAAAGGAACAAATGAACAATCTATTTATCATGTTTAAGCAGAACTCTTCTGTTGTCAAATACAGTGCCTAGTCAGGTGATGACCTTGATATGGACTAAAAGTGTAATTCAGTTTTTCTTTGATACTGACATTCTCAAGAAGACATTTTAGAGAAATCCCTAAAAGATCAAAATTGCAAAAGTAAAAAAAGAAAATGTACCTTCTTGTGATGTTTGCTCAAATACATTATGGTAGAGATGTTTCAATAGACATCCCTTGTCTTTCTACTGTTTGCTTTACCATGAGGTCTGTGTGGTGTAAATTTAATCATTAAATAGTGGCCCCATCAACAAATAAAAAAGAAAGCTGTGAGAATAAAAATTGAAATGAGAAATGATTCTGGGTCAGTCTGGCAAGTCACCAATCTTTATCCTGATATAGACAGGACTGGATCTCTGCGTTTCCATTGTTTTTTTGTTTTTTTTACCATTTTATATATGGAAACACCTTAAATCTTTTGAAACGAGTTTAGCAGTTTAATTTAGATTCTGTTAAATCTAAGTTAAAAAATGCTTGATACACATCCATAGTGTTGGATAGTGTTACAATTATACAATTAAAGATCTGAAAGAATAGGTTGGTATTTTACCTCTGTCACTTTGCACACTTTGAAGAAGAGCTGACTTCAGGCTTTATCATCTACATCAAAAGAAACAGATTGCCTTACCTTATGCTCTTAAATATGTAAATTGAATCTAAATTTAAATATAACAGTTCAGTTCATTGTCTTTGCTTGTTAAAGATATTTGAGATGAATATTAGAATAGCACTCATTAAGATAAAGTGAAAACCACTACATATAGTATGTTTTATGCATGTGCTAGTGAAAATCACTTTTTACATTTAATAAGATTTATAAACTGCTTTACTCTTAGACTAACTCACTGGATCTTAAAATGAAGGCTCAGCACTTATTTCTACTTCTCTATTTCTGTCCCATTTCCTTTCAGATAAATACGAACAAAGGCAACTTCTGCCACAAAAGTCTAAATATGTTGCAAAAGTACTTAAAGTAGAATAATATTGAAGAATGTCACTTTATGCTTTGTTCTCTGTCATAGATTTCATATGATCTGACTGGATCTCTGAGCAAAAACAAAGACTTCTTCCCGCAGAATCTCTTGCTTACAATAAAAAGTAAGTACCCAGTACATAACAAGCATATGAGCACAATGTGGCGTCAGAGTTTAAGTGAACAAAGACCCGTTCTTGTTAAAAATGGCAAAACACAAACCCACCCCTTGTTTTAGTGCTGTTATATTTCTATGTGTGTGCTTTAGCCCATATGCAGCAGACACCGCCTGTGTGTATATTGTCTAAATAAGCTGCCAGATGTCGGGTGTTGTGGCTCGCAGGACACAGGCAACCGTTGTGTGACTGCCAGCTTAGTCTTGCGTCCAGCAACCTAATTGCTATAATTTCCATGATGAGGCTAATCTTCTGAAGGCTAGTCCTTCACTCATGCTTGGCTGGTATTCCTCTGTCTGACAAGTCGATGCAACGCAGCCTAGCATCAACATGTAGCCACAAACATGTTTTTTTTTTTTTTATGTGGGCTGCTCTTGATAACAAAAAGTGTTGTGTGTATTTGGAATACATTATAATGTTTTATGCATATTTCTTTTAACTTCGTAGCACTGTTCAATTTGAAATTAAATAAATTATTATAAATTATTTGCTGCAACACAATGTGAGGCACCTTTAACAGGATAAAGAGTAGATCATGAGATCACAGAGAGGTCAATCCAGGATCTAGAGGGCAAGTTCTCAGTAAATCTGTTCAAGGTGAATAAAAGAAAAGCTTCTGTTGTCCAGAAATAAATTACCTTCTCTCCGAATTAGTCAGCATTGTATTAGCCTTTGATCTTAAACCTTCTGGAGTTTAGTTTGTTCACAAATTATTACAGCCCATATAGTCCTGTGTTATTTATTTATTTATTTATATTTTTATTTTTTTTACATTGTATAGGCATCTTCAGAAAAAACAACAATTCTATAACCCAGGTGGAACTGCAGCTCAGATTTTGTCCTCACAATCAGCTCAACCATGGTTATCCATAGAGCACACATAGGCCTTCAAAGATACCAAATAAGGAGCCCTAAATTGCTTTTGCAAGCAAAAAAGTGCGAGCATGTTGATGCTTATCTACTAACATGGCTTTAGCAAAAAATAACAGGTGCAAAAAAGTAGCTTTCTTTAAAAGAATATTTTACAGTACATGTTCCAGACAGTTTGGAAGAGTGGATCTGTGCATCCCAAGGCAGCTGCACCAGTATGGTCGCTATGTAGATGTAGAAAAGAAAAGAAAAGAAAAGAGGAGAAAAGGAAGGACCTTCTCTGCATGAAATGAAAAAAAATAATTGTTTAAATTTCATAAAGCAATGTCACTCAGAAAGTTCACCTTTTCAGACACACAAATCCCATTTTTATGCTTGTTTGCTTTTTTAATGAACATAAAGGTTCAGAGTCTATTATCTGTTACTAAAGAAGTTATTATAGTTTTTGTTTAATAAAAGGAAAAGCAAAAAATAAAGGTTCGTTGACAGTTCTTCAAAAAAGAACAAAAACTTTATTTAATTTTCCTTTACCAATGGTCATTACTCTTAAGGTATCATTTTGATAAGAAGAAAGAGGTAATAGTAGCTGCTGCAGACTTTGCTATTTCTGCACCAGAGATGTGGGATCAGCAGTCATAGGACATACAGAGATAGCTGCTTATTCCAAAATAGAATCAAACTCCTTTTACCACCGATTAACATGCAGAACTTTCTATTCCTCTTTTGAATAACAAACAGTTTCATGTTCATAAGTGCTATAGCTTGTTACATCACTTGTTTGATCCTACTCCATTTAATCTGATGGTTGTGATTAAAGGTGATCTCTGAAAGTGGAAGGCAATGCAACAACCCAATAATGATAATCATCTTTATTTTGTCATCATCATTTTACCTTCCAATAAAATTGGTCTTCTGCATTCACCTCATCTCCATTGGGGAGCAGGGAGCCGCTTCCAGCTGCCCTGAGTGCAATCTGGAGCTAAGGCTCCTACTCAGAGACCCAGAATGGCACTCTGTGGGATCATATTGGCTACTTTGAGCTTCCTCTGAGCTTTTTCCATCATTCTATAGTCGGAATGTAAACTTACACTGATCTAACTCTTTCTTTCTGTCCATATATTTCTAACAGACCCTTATAGATAAGAGCCCCTTTACCCTAATTCAAACACATGTTTGGCTTTCTGAATGGGCTCATTGTTGTACAGTTCGCTCCATGTGTTGTACAGTGACATGCTCCAACCCTTCTTGTTGTATCACAGATTGTTTACATGCAGCCCAAACTTAACAATTACAGTACTTCCCCTTTCATCCCTCTTTTCTTTTTTCAAACCCTTTCATGGATTTTATTTCTTGTTCTTTTACTCACTTTTTCTTGTTCCTATTCTTCTCTGTTTCCTTTCTCAATCAATACTATTGCTATTTCTGTACTGATTTTTCATGTATGTTGCTTTGTGCCCGGCAGCCAGTGAAAGTGTGTTACTGCAGCAGCTCTTCCAGTCCAAGCTGACTCAGACTGGTTCTCTGGTGCCAGCTGCACAGGGCCGCATTGGCCTGAGAGGGACTAAAGCAGCCTTGTTGCTTCAGAGGATAACATCAGCCTCCCCTGTCAATGCCACTCTTATCCCTGAACAGCCTCGGAGGTACCAAGATCTTACCAAGGTAATCTTCACAGGGAAGAGCTGCAGTCCGTGATTTAGTGTTCAAACAATACTTTAATGTGGATGTCCCTTTTATGTCAGCAGATTTTATTAAATAGTTTCCTCACTAACACCGTATTTTCCACCTGTCATCAGCTTCTTTTTCCCAGCGATCAGCGAACTGACTATCATTGGAGAAACACAGACACTATTTTTAGTAAAGCTATTGTCTAATTTAAGCTGCTTCCCACCCAGACTCTAAATATAAACCTCTGGGAAATTGATGTTTTTGTGTGCACAGACATTCTTGAGCTAAAACCTTTCCAAGAATGCACACAGAAAAAAAACTTGGGTTTTGGTATCTTGACTTCTGAAATTATTACACAATAGCCCCATATGAAATAAATCTTAGTTTTCACTAGTGTAACATTTTATCCCTATTTTTCTCCCGCTAGAAACACAAAGCACTTGTGCACATATGTGATTAAAAAGGTTATCAAGTTGTGTAACTTCCAGGAGATCCTGTCTGTTGTCTCAGTGGTTCATTAGCTAATGAGAGCAAACAGTTATATAAGGCCCCTTTCACCTCTCAGACCTGTCCTAGCAGCTTTACACAGTACCAAAACATAATGTTGCTGCGCTAATCTCAGTGTTTCAGATTGTAAATAAAACAGTATCAATCAAAAAAGTTGTTCTCAGACTTCAGAAATCTCATCATGATTATTTATCAAATCAATTTAGTTCTTTTAATGATAATGATGTGTCTTAACTGTGCTTTTTCTTTGGGGCAACAGTTGTTTTATATTTCAAAAGCGATAAATCAGCCCTACCAATCTGCTTATGGGAGTGATCAAATAGGTGTATATAACCTTTACCCAGTATGTATCATTAAGATTACAAATCTCTTTTACAAGAGAGGCCTGAGCAAACCTAATAACAAGAAGGTATGGAAGGAAAAGGAATTAATTACTAAAGCTATTTATGCTATGTCCCATTGCCTTAAATAGCTTCATTGGCTGTTTTCTGCTAAGATCAAACATTAAAATAGGAAGGTAATGTGTATTGATATGCGTCTTTGAACCTCTAGAGCCTGTTGGGCATGAGATATTCATTATTTTACATTTCTTGTTTTTTATACAATCTACAGATATTAAAGAAAAAAGGCTCCAGTTCTTTCCTCCAGCGACTCGAACGTTGTGGGCCAATCACAGGGGCTGTCCAGCTGAGGGTAAGGACAGTTTCTGTTTCTTTATGATTGCAGAAAGATGCTGCCTGAAGCTTCCTTGAACACATGCATGCATTAATGAGGTTTTAGACCTTTACTGAATATACTTCAGTTAGCTACAAGCATCTGGATCAGATTTGATCTCATTACAAGCATGTTGTTTGTTACGAAACCAGAATTTTTTTTGCCCTTTTTTTTTTTCTTGTCTCACGTCAATGCATTTGTCAAAATAGTCATCACAACCTTTGCAACAATGCAGCTTAAGTGTAGGGTTCTCATAACTTTTTAAAGCAACAATAATATTCAGTTTGCAGCAAGTAGCTCTGTCTCCAGTGGTGACGCAAGGAGACTTAGACGTGGCTCAAAGAAGCAGTGCCTTTGGTCTGAATGAAACCACTGTGTTGCACAATCAGAGTTGTGGACTTGCGGTTGACAAAGCCCCTCCGGGAATGGAAGGGAAGGAGAGAGTGGGCTGAAAAATGATGCTGTACCAAGCCAAACATCAAGCCCTCCACATGAATGAATGAACAATGAACAACAGCCACTGTGTTCTGTGGGCATTCGTTTCAAAGTGTGTCTGTGTACATTTGTGTTTGTGTTTCTGAAAGTGGCTATTAAAGATGAGAAGGAAGTACATCTGAAATTGCTGAGTGATCTCAGTTTGAGGTGTGGCCCCTGGAGGAATGTCCCGCTGTGACCTTGGATGCATCATGCTGAAATTGAGGATTTTAATGAAAGCTCGGAAAGAACTGGGAGTCATTGTTGTTTTTCTGTTTTGCTTCCTTCAGAGGCAAGATGCACTCCCAAAAAGCAAACAGTGTTGTCTTTGGCTCAACGTGATGCTGTTCTATAGAAATAAATCAAAAGAAATCGGAAAACAATGCTTTGTTTAATGATATTCATTTTGTTCAAGTTTTAAAACTAACTTCCTCTTCTCTCCTTTTTCAGAACTCACTTTCAGAGCTTATGAGTAAACTGCAAACTCGCACTCCCCACTTTGTAGAGTGTGTTCGCCCCAATTCTAGTGGTCAGCCAGGAAGCTTTGACAGCTGCCACGTCTCTTCCCAGCTGCGGTACATCGGAGTGCTTGATATGGTGCGCATGATTCGCTATGGATACCCCGTCCGTCTGTCCTTCCCAGCATTCCTCAGCAGGTCAGTGTTGGATGACCACAATGTCCAGACCAAGGGTTTTGATCTTTTTCACATTTGGTTATCTCCCAGCTACAGGATCACAATGAGTATCAAAAAATGTTATGTTAATAATTAATTGCAAACGGTGCAAACTGTCGAAATTGGCTGCAAATAACATTCTGAGCTGTCATTTATTTGTATTTTGGGCCCCTTAATTTAACATCTTGTAGAGCTCTTCTTTACAGCAATAAGAACAGCAGGTATGTTTAAGCTCTTATCGCAAACAAATCACTGATATTTTTGCCCAGCCTTCTTTGAAAATTAGCTCAAGTGCAACCAAAGGGTTTGAAGTTCAGGATGAAACTCATTTTCAAGTCTTGCTACTGATTCTTAATTAGATCCAAGTCTACACACTCAGTTAGTCTATCATTTCAAGTTAGTTTAACCTGAAACATGGCTTAATATTTATGCTTGTTATCATTCAACTGAACCTTAACTGGTTTTCTTATTTCAACTTTATTTTTCCTTCATATACATGATTTTTTTTTTAAATCTTCTTTAACTAACTTTATTCTCGGTATCAAAGAACAAACATCCTCAGAGTATGAAGCTGCTTGTTCCATGGTTCCACAGGTTGGTGTTTTGAGGATGGTGTGCAATTTGATTTTACAACAAAAAAAACCTTTTTGTGTCTCAAAAGGTTCAGATCTGGGAAGGGGAGTGATGGCCTAGAGGGGAGTGGCAGCCTAGTAGTTAGGGCATAGAGCTTGGAATCCTGAGAGTCTGAGTTCAAGCTCCACTCCCACAGACTGCCACGCTGGGTCTCTGAACAAGACCCTGAAAGGGGAACACTGTTTTTTTTTTACATTGGCCCCTTGATTTTACGTTATTACATCATTTTCTACTCAACCATATTAATTCTTTGTCATTTGGAGCTGTTTCCGTCGTCACTGAGTCTGGGAACAGACATTTTTGCCCAAATATAGTAACACCTCACTCCTGACATCTTCCGGCAGTGATGTCACTGTGCGGTAAGCCTAACGTCATTCTCCCGGCTTTGCAAGCAAATCAATGGAAACTACTAGACACCCCAGAAATCAACAACAACTATTTAATATTATTTAATATTTCAAGAGCACTTCACCATTGTAATTCCCGAGAGCTATAATTAAACTGACAATGGCCACGCTTATGGCGGTTGGATGTTGTAATACATCGGGTAAAAGGAAAAAAAAAAATTGTTATTTCACCTTTCCAAATAATGATCCTCCATGGACATGTTACTGTGGTCCTGTTTGCTGGATTGCCAATTTAAAGCGGGAGGATTTGCCATCGAATTTCTTGCCAGAGAAAAAACACGTAACATGTAGCCAACATTTTGAACAAGAATGTTTTCAAGATGACTCAGATGATAGCGCATTGTGGCAAGGCACCAGATACAGCACTGGTACTTGCTCAACAGCTGATACAGCACCGTGATGTCACAAACCGGTAGGTGGCAGTGGTGTTCTTTGACAAACATGGATGCCTCCAGTAAAACACATTCAAATGAAATTACTCTTAATTAAAAACACTTATTATTAATTGAACAGTATGTAATAATTTATTATTTAAAGTACTTTCAGAAGCTTGAATTCTGAATATGACCAGAGTTTTCCTTTAAATGTGACCAGCAGTCAAGCATGCATTATGTAACATATTTTCCCAAATGAGTTCTCCACCACTTTGTGTTGATCTATCACAGGGAGGGTTATGTCCATCAACTACTATCCTGCAACTGTAGGATGCATGACTTCTCCAACATATTTAAATTGACTGATTTCCTTCATTAGTAATAATTTAGCCCTGCAGAGGCCTGCTAAGTAGCCATTTATTTAATTAAGGTGTGTTGGAGAAGGATTGCATTCAAAAGATTCAGGACAATAGCTCTTAAGCAGTTGAGTCAGAGAACCCCGCAGTATCAAAACCTCTGTTACTTTTTTTTCTTCCTGTTTCCTTGTAGCTTTAAATCATCTAGAAAAACCTCAGAAATTGCGGATTGCTCCTTCCTATTTCTTCTTTGTCCATGCTCCAGTTTTCAGTCTTTCAGACTTTCGTTTAACTCCTGTCAGGTCACTATGGTCTCAGTCATGTGTATTGTGACAGGTTCCAGCATAGTCAAACAAGAACAAATTGCAACAGCTTTTGCTTCATCCCCGCTTGAATTCAGACCACATGCTCACATATGAACAGACACAATAAAAAGTCAGAGCAACCCTTTTATTTGAGGTGCATTTCGACTTTGAATGTCTCTCTTTGACTATTATTGGAGACCACTGCTGCTGATGAAAGTCACTGAAACATTTTTCCCAAGTCAGATTGACACCGGAGCTTTAAACAAGCCAGTTGTCTGTAAGGTCACTTTGTCCTGGGTTTGAGTTTTTTGGTATTGTCACTCCCAATCAGCTGCTTTTTGTAAACTTTTATTATATTGTTTTTTACCAGACATAAAGAGAGATCCCATATAGCACAAATTATTTATTTTAACTAATTGTATGTCTTGTTTTCATCTTTTTTTATTTTAAACCATGTGAAAAGATTCTCTAATCCTCTTATTTTTCACCTTGTTTTAGTGTATTCTGTATTTTAATGTGACGGGATTTTACTTTAACACTGTCTTTTCTGCTTCCCTCTCACATTCTGTCTCCTAACATCCTCAGTTTCTCTGTCTCCTTGCCTGTCAATTTGGAGATAAAGGGATTAACAGGAACATTCTTACCAGAAACAAACGATGACAAAGCTGGCCACATGACCCAACCCCCCCTCAAAAAAAAAAATCCCATTCCTCTGCTCCAAAATTCATCGCATGCGCATTCACACACCATGTCACCATCTGAGGATCTATTTCTATCACTAATATTAGATTTTAAGCAAGAAGAAAACAATTATCAGAATTTAAGAATTTAATCGGAATTAACATTCAAAATATACAAAAGCTGCTTTTTATACTTGTATAGAATGCAATCCATGTTCAAACGGAGCATAAAGCTAAACTTAACAAGGCCGTGAATTCTGAATGAAGAAAAGGGGGAAAAAAGCAGTGGTGTCAGACCTCTGAAGACAAAAGTATGAAAAACTTTGAAAACAAGCAGGCTATGATTCAAGGAACATATAGTGAGCCAATTAGCCAAATCCACTGTTTGCAATGTTCTACTTGATGAACCCACAGACACAGCACCAAATCATACAGCAAAAGATACATCAGAAGGGGTCTTATTGGGCTCCATTGCACCCAAAACATTCTCTAGGGTGCATAATTGAGTGTCGCAGTTCCACCGTTGCTTTGGGGTTGTTAAATATTTTCATGATGAGACATTTTATTGTTGTGTTGGCCTGATAGGAGCCACAGAGAAGCCTAATATGAATAGTTGCAGCTTATCTATGGCTGTCAGGCACCACTGTGTCTTTGTCATCAGAGACTTTCAACAAGGAGTATTCAACCTGGCCTTATGCCAAGGCTACAGCCCCGTTGCACTCAGCGTGGGCTGGCAGCTCTCCAAATAATTTGCTATAATGGCAACACAGCTGCTATGAGCATTGCGTCCCGCTACTGCTCTCTCTGCTTTTAAATAATCTCATCGAACAGCTGATATGAACAAGGCAAAAAAAACAAATTTGTGCTAAAAACCCCTTAAATACAAATATATCAAATAAAGATCCCAACCACGGGAAAAGCACACACACCTCCAAATTGAACATACATTGGTTGCCTGAAACAAATTGACATTTTCTCTGCAGTTTAAAAGCGAACTCTACCTTTCATGCTGTTAATTACTGGTTTTGTATAAAGCAAGTGTACAGAGCAAGTCAGGAAGCGAGAAAGGTCGCCTGCATGGATGATAAGCTTTATGATACAATTATTGAATATCACCCATGTGACACAAAGAAACTCTTCCGGTTTCAGAGCATTAGTGTGATTGTCTGCATCTTCTCATGGTGCCGATAAGCTACGGGAAATACTGATGGTGTTTGTTCCTCCATAACAAAGCAGAAACTATTGGTGGAGGCACAAAATCATGCAAGGTTTAAATGCTAGGGGTTATTCTCTCACTGGTCACTATGACTCAAACTGCTCAGCTTTTGTATGTACATGAAAGGACATTTATGCAGATTTAATTCTTCCTTTTTTAGCTTTTATAATTTTTTTATACATATGTGCATTTATTTTATTACATTTTATTGCCTATACATTGTGGCTACCTGAATTTAACTTCATGCGAGTCAAATCCTGGTTAAATTGCTATATTATATAGCACGGACCAAGAAATTAATCCATGCTGAAAGCTCTTTAGCTCTGCTTTGACACTATACAGTAAATAAGGTTGTACTTTTTAAGCATGTTATCTATTTGTCCGATTTTATTTATTGTTTTATAAATAAAAAAATAAGTAAATATATCATTGATTTATTTATTTGACAGGCAATCCACATTGTTGCTATGTGATCGTGTACACAAACGGACCGTTGGGTATAAGCAAATCCACTTATACAATAGAGCCACTCTGGCCTCCCCTCTAGGTTACAGTGCCTGCCTGGAGCAAATCACATTAGTGTCATGGTAACCAGAGTGATTTAAGAGAAAATCTATTTTACTGGTCCTTTTATTTGTCATTTATAGAATGTTATGTGTCCTGTTTCAGGGTTTATTTTCTGTCAGATTCAGGTTGTTTGTATGTTGTCACTATAAACCTTCGCCCTCTCTGTCCACTGATCTGCTTATTTTTCAAAATATACAGTTAATAGGAAAGTGCCATGATCATGCAAATAACTCACAACTTTATTTTACAGCGCTGTTGTTCACATTTTTATGTCTGTTTTTCTAACTGGGCTATAATGCTGCATTATTAATGGACAATAAATGACCAGCAGGTGAATGTACATAATTCAGTTTGACCATTGTGTGTAAATATCCATGACTAAATGAGACTCATGGACTAATAAAACACCAGAATGTTAGAGTTTTAAGTACAGGCACCCTATTGTTGCGTCGTTGGTTCAACAATAAACATGATACTACCAGAGTGGAATAGTGCAATTCCTATCATATACCTTTGGGTCATTTTAGTTCTTAGACTCCATATTGAGACTCCCCAGGGTCTTGTATTAAAAACAGGAGCATATATGTGTTTATTTCCTCATAAGATAGGTCATGGGTTTACAGAGCTCCTCTGTGCTTAATGGGCCTATTGGGGGAACCTAAGCTGTCTGTTTGACCAGTATTACTATCAAGAGGGACACCCAAGCTCTGTAAATCAAACACATCCTTTATTTACGTGAACTCACTTTCTCAGTATTGACAGCACAAGTGGTTTATGTTTACCATCTGCTTCTTGTGTTTACTTCATCACATGTGTGGCATCATCAGCTTATTATTTGTCCACATTTGTGGGAAATATTTAGAGCATTTATCAACAAGAAATAATTAAAATAGTTGAAACTAAAACATAACATCCATTGTTTTTACCTAGCCGGGTCCTTTAGTTTAAATGTTTCTGGTGAAGGTTAGGGTTAGTTGGCATACTGTGCCTTGTAAAAGCATTTACTCCTTTTAACATTTTCATTCTTTTTCTATGTTACAACTACAAACTTAAATATATGTTATTGGAGTTATATGTAAACCATTCTATGGTATCCATTGTAGGGATGGTCATTTCCTTTATGAGGGCAGGTGAACCTCATCTTTAATCTCAAATCATTTGCATTCTTGAACAGATTTTCCATTAAATTTACTATGAACTTGGACTTGCTTCTCTAATCCTCCTAAAGTAACCTATATCCACACCAGGATGCTGCCAAAACCGTGTTTCACAATTGGGAAGATGTGTTCTGGATGACGTTCACTGGTCATATTCTTTTGCATAAAACAATTTCCTATATATGCCAAATACCATTGTTTTGTCTCCTATGACCGCATATTATTCTGATGTACTACTATGGTGTGTTTATAGCAAAAATGGAAACTGCGTTCTTTTCTATTTTTTTGTTCTCTTTATTGGTTTCTTCTTGCAATTCAGTCACAACGTTTTTGGACTACACAGCTAACACTTGTCATATATATATATATATATATATATATATATATATATATATATATATATATATATATATATATATATATATNTCTAAAGCTTAACCAGAGTTAGTTTGGAACTCTGATGAATCTGTAAAACAACGCTCTTCTTCTCTGTCCTGCCAGTTGAGCCACAGCTTAATTGCTATACTAGACATGTCATAACCCTTTCCCATCTTGATAGTATGGTACTATGGATAGAAATCTTCATTGAGATATTCTATAGCCTAACGCTGCTTTGAAATGTCTGCTTTGTCCCTTGGTTTTCATAATACTTTGCTCATTCTAATCAACCTCTGAGGTCTTCCCAGAACAGATGCACTCATAGAAAGACAGCATTATACACAGGTGGATTCTATTTACTAATTAGTGACTTCTTAGGGTAATTAGTTGCATTCTAGTTTATCTAGACAGCAGGTGTCAAATTCCGGCCTGCGGGCAAAATTTATTATTAGTTTTTGCCCACAAGATAATTCCAAGTGTAGACTAGGGCTGTCTTACTGGTAGACACTGGAATCACCACTAGTGCTACAAATCCCAGAATGCTCGATTGGTGCATTCTAGGACCCACACCACTCTTCCTCTGTTGACAATGAGTAGTTATTCTGCAATATAAATGATGAACTGTAGAAGACTTAGCTTACATGAATGTTTTGTTTTAGCACATCTTATTGCAATTCCAATGCATGGAATTGCAATAAGATGATAGAGGCCCAATAAGATGATAAATATCAAGGTTGGCTGACTCATTTGACAAAGTTTTAAATTTGGCGCATTATGTGCTTTCAGTTTGCCCCTCTAATCTACAATACCATTAGGTCAAAATTTATAAATTTTCTTATTTTTTAAAATGGTTTTGAAAAACATATATCCTTTTCTTAACCACTCTGTAAATAGCTGTTGCATGGTTTTGTTTAAAATACAAGGAAAAGTGCAGATGTTTGTGAAAAAGAATGTAAAGGTAATTTGTGTGCAGGTCTAGATCCAAGGACACCTAATTGACATTTTTTTTTATTTTGTGATTTAAAGTTGCAAATGGTGTATTTAGTCTTCTTGTTTCATAAAGCTCTCATTTAGGAAACAATCTTAACTGTAAAACTGAATGAATTTTTGAAAATATAATTATGAAATTATAAACACCCTCTGAGCATTTGATCCCTTTTTGTTTTATTGTACATATGACATTATCTCATTGTTTGGGAAACAAAATCTCTGTTTTTTTTAACAAACTTTTTTTATCACAGTAGGAAGTTTTTTGATGAAAGGAATAAATAAGACCAATATCAGTCCTTCTATGAACACATTAAACACATTATGCAAAGAATCATTTATGCAGATCATGGATTACTGGGAAACTGTGTTGTGATTAATTATATTAATTAGACATTTTGATATAGTGGCAGATGAAAGCATTGTTTCAGACCCTTTATAATTCAGGGTATATCTTGAAATTCTCTTCATATAAAACACTAATGTGAGGTATAATTATTTTTGTCATGAGGATGGTAATAATTTATATCCTTTACATACATCCTGGAGATTAACTTTAAATCACTGCAGAAAGGAATGTTGATCTCTGTCTAAAACAACGGCAGATTTATGCACCTCTTGTCTGTGAACAGGCTGTAAAATGGTTTAAATGTGTCAGAATTAATGGAAAATTAACAACAAATCAAGTTCCACCATTATTCTCTTTAAATCATGTGTATATTATCAGTTAAGATATATACAACAGCACATGGTTTACTATGTCTTTCACCTTCACATCTTAGCATAGAAAAAAGATGCTGAAAATATCCAGTTGATTATTCATAGTAAGCTAAACCAAGGACAACGGGAACAGATGCTCTTTGGCACCATATAACCCTACTGACCTTTGAATCCATTGTTTCCAAAAGAGACCACATATCTTAGAGATTTCTCAACTCAACATCTGTATTTGTGCAGGTCTAATTCAGTCATATATATTTTTTCCTTTGATGTTGTTCTCAGATATAAAGACCTCCTAGTCCCTACTTTGGGAGACAAGAAGAAACTGTCAGCTGAGGAGAAATGTCGTTCCATCCTACAGCAGTCAAAACTCCAAGGATGGCAGGTGTGTTTGTGTGCACGCTTTGCTGCTTCGTCTTTTTTTTTGTTTTTTCATCTATTAGCAACAAAAGATTTGACTTAATCCCTGACCCTCTGTTTGAAAGATCCCATGGAATCTAGACTGCCCGTTCCAGCTGTCCGGCCTCATCATAATTCTGCTCACACACGCACACGTCCACAACAACACAAACCCCTCCACCCCTTTCTCTGTCCTGTCTGCTGCACTGCTGTTGTGTCTGAAAAAGTGACCCTACAGGTCACAGGCAGACGTACAAACACACACACACACAATGCCCTGCAGACACTTCTAATGCATCCTTGGTTAACATACACGCTAATTCTGCACTTAGCTGGTGTTGCATCAGTCAGCAGTGATCAGTTTCATGCACCTTGTACAGAGTGACCCGGTTTGGCCCCCAGAATGACCCCTAAATCCTGCTAACAACTATACTCCACTCCCACTAATTATAATAAATTAGTACTGCGTCACTACACTCCTATGTCTACATTCACACAATGTCCTGAGATGTCAGCGGAAAACAGTTAAATAAGGTTTAAGCAATCGGAAATAAGCCATATTCAATGTGTTTTTTCGTCTAGATGGGCAAGAGTAAAGTGTTTCTGAGATACTGGCAGCCAGACCAGCTCAATGACCGCTGCTACCAGCTTCACAAAAAGATCATCACCTGTCAGAAAGGTAAACTGTAATAATTATAAAACTGGCTCCTGCATGCTTTCTTTTTGTATCTAACATTTTCTCCATCTCCTTCATGTGTCTCAGTTGTCCGCGGCTGGCTTGCTAGGCAACAGGTCAGTCACAGGCTCTCGCTGCAGCATAAAGAGCAGTGCAGCGTGCAGCGTTTTTTGCAGGGAGCCGAAGACATGGGGCTACAGATCTACGACCAGCTGGTAATCCAAAATGCATCTGACATTGCACGAGAGAGTGACCGTCTGCGCTGTCATGGCAATAGTCTGCTTAGCACACTCAGTAGCAGCCCACCACTTGGTGAGAGGCCTGAGCCAGTGGGCAAAGAGGAGGATCAGCCAGTCAGGAGGTAAAACAACACATATACATTCACAAATTATTAATTTAATTTGACATGAAGGTGTTCTTGCTTCCGTTTTTACAAAGTTTTTTTATTTTTGAGTTTGGCTTTTTGATTATCAGCATTTTTTAACCATATGCTGTCAGTAGTAAAAGCAACACTACTGGTATGAGATTCTAACAGCATGAATTTTGGTAAAAATCAACCTAATTTCTTATAAGTTCATGTCAATATCCCAATTCCACAAATCTACTGCCTCTGATAATAACTTAGTTGATTAATTGTGCCACCTGTGATGACCAAATAAGTTATCATGTTAGATTCCCTGCACACTGACAATTTGCAGACTCTGCACCAAGATTTATGACTGTACCGGGGAAGCATTTGCCTTACTAAATATGTTTGTGTGTTTAATCAAGTGCACTCACGTTACTGTGGGTGTGGGTACGTGTGTAGCAGATTTTTTTGTGATTAATGGTGTCATTGAATACCTCTGGCTCATGACCTTTAATTGTAAGCTTCTTCATAGATGGCCCGACAATTATCTGTGTTATTAAATTGTACGGTGCTGCTGAATAGAACAGTAGTCCAGTTTAAACCTCACCTCTAACCAAATAAGAGAAATTCAAAGGGCTTAGTTAATGAAAATATAAAGTGGATAAACAGAAACTCTCCTGGGATACTACTGCTAAGGGCTTGAATTTAATTTTATAAATGAACCACCAAATAGATGTCAGCATTAATAAGTTATCATTATATATTTCTATGGAAATCAGCTAACACGAATAAGTGAAAAATAAATAATGATTATATTGTCACAATAAATCATAAGCTTATCAATACAGTTGATCTTCCTTATAATTACTAACCATGAGCAGTGTATCAGTCGGTTCCAGTTAATCCAACTGGACCCAGCTGAGCCTTTAGGGATGAAGACGAACCTGACCAATACTCATGCATTGTTGGTTTGTGCCCCAATAAAACCTCCTGTGAATAAATATTTTATTTAAGATATTACTGCTACTAGTCGCAGTCAGTCCATGTGCTGAGTTTGGTTTACCGAGTATTGCCTGCATGCGCAGGCAGTGCATTGGTTTGCACATTAATGCCTTAAATTATATATTCACATTGGAGTTTTTTTTCACTCCACAGTGGTAACTGGCCGAGGTCAGGTGCTGCCCAGATGTGGATGTAATGCAGGTCATTTTCAGGACGTAGCACAGCACATCAAATCTACCTCACACAGCTGCAGGATGGGCTTGTGTCTAATTACCTGCTGTATCAGACTGTCACATTTTTACAAGAGATTAAATCACAACTACAGTACTGGTCATCTATTCTATAAGTGCAACCATGTTTTTATCCATTAAAACATTAAACTAACATTAAACTATTAGACCATTAAAATAGACTGTTTGACATGAGAAAAAAAATCTTAGAGCCGGACCTTTCCCGTTAGCCACAAACCATCCTTCATGACATTAAAGGGTTGGATTTGATTCGGGCTCAGGCCTGAATCAAGTCCAACCCTTTAAAATCAATACTTTAAGTCTGAGATACATCCAGTTCATCAGAAGATGGACTTTGTTTCTCAGTACGCAAACTATAAGAAAAGAGTCTGTATTGATGAATAATTCCATCCAGATTTCACCGCTATATAATACATTGTTCATGCTTGTCGATGCAACCAACAAAAAGCAATATTATTTCTAATGCTAATAATAATGATAATACATGAAGAATTTAAAAGCAGTAATGGCAGCCATAATGTTTCTGTAACCAAGTGTTACAAAAAAATATGTTATTTTTAGCCCATGTAATAAGGTGTTTTTTAACACAATAGTCAACTTGAGGGAAGCTGTTTGTTCATTCTTCTCTAATAGCCATTTTTAATAATGTTAGGAAACCCAATAAAAGTTTAAGTGCTTTTATTATATGTTTGAATTTGTGGATATTATCATATGATTTATAGCAATACTGAAAACTTCAAATATAATAACTGAAATAAAAAACTAAAGACAAGACATTTTAAAACATTTTGTAAAAATGTAACACAAGAAATGTAGGTTCTGATGCAGAATGTTTTCTGACATTTCCACTTTTATTCCCTCCTAAAATTGTTAGAATAATGTACAAGTGTTTAATATCATTTAGAAACAAAAAGAACACCTTTTCTCAGCATTTGGTTAAAGATTTGTCCCTTTAAACCTTAAACATTTAGCTTGGTGAGGTTGTAATTGTTAAACTCAGACTAAATAATTACAAGTGAACACTGAGACTGAAACAGCTATCTGAGGCCTTAAGGAAGAAGCCTGAAATCTTAACATAATTGAGATTAGAATATGTACAAACCAACTGGAAATCGGGTCGAGATACCTAAGAATGTACTGAGTTCTTATTTTTGTTTGTTCCTTATGAGATTTTGGGGGAATTTAGGACTTCTGCAACAAATTTTCAAGAATTAAAAACTTTTGCCAACGATTTCAGATAACTTCTGTCATTTGTTTTCTATGTTGGACCATGACTTAAAGGATTTAAAGAGGACTTAGATAAATTTTAAATAAGCAATTTCTCCATTTAGAAGACACGTAAGAGTTCAGGACATTCAAAACTATTTCCAATTTACGTTGCTTTTGCTTTAAGAAATTGAAATCCCTTGTCCTTCTCAAAACTGTGTCAGAGATTGGTAGAATAATTAAGTCACACTGATGTAATTATAGCCTTAAAAGGTAAAACTAGTTAACAGGGCAGGGGACTAAGGTTTGAATCCTGGATGAGGACAGAAGGGCATCCATTACCCAGTCTGCCTAGCTAGCCATAATGACTTGGCTCTTAGGTCAATGGATCAGTAGAAAGGACTCAATCATTATACCTCAACATTGGCAAGACAACACCCCCCTGATTTCTGCATCTTGTCTCTGGCTGGATAAGAGTGTCCGCCCTAACCCCTACATCCCTCAGTCACTATATACTGTACAGTAGCAGCCATTCAGAATGTCCCTTCTAGGTCAAAAGCCAGTCGAAGGGCAGCCCATTTCCCTGCAGCTCCCAGCAAAAACCCCTCCAACTTCCAGCCAGTGGCCTTCTCCTGTGTATGCATATTTTTATACTCTGACTCCATCCGTTCACTGAAGTACAGGGTCTGACCAGGTGATAACGCTTCTCTTTAGATCTTAATGTCCAAAAATCATGACAGACAGAATTTTTTAGTACAAAGATACATTTTTAAAAAGGAATTGTAGGAGACCAGGCATGGGCCCATCAAGGAAAGTGGGGAAATTTTGAACGGCAACTACTTCAGAGCGGGGACTATATAGTGGACTTTATAGTGAATTTGGTTAGCTGATAGATGACCACTACCTTTTGCTCCCCTCTTGTCACGTGACCCTGCCTCCTCGCATGGTGCCTGCGCCATCTTTGTAATTTGTCACAACAGCAGGCCGGTGTTACAACGAACCTCTTAATGCTTCTGGAGAAGCATTAACAGAAGCGGAGAGCTTCCGCAAAGCATTATCCAGGGTATATCTGCTCATCTAGTGACCATAGATCATCACTACTTTTCAAGATGCATTGTGGGAAATTTCAATTCCACTACTTTTTCATCCGCTAGATGTTTGGATACTCATCTGAAATGGCATTATCACTATATAGGGATTAGGGTGGACATTCGGACACAGGCCTTGTTCTTATTCTCATAACATCTGCTGATGGGACAGGAGCAGAGGGGCTAATAACAAACTAACTGTTATCAGCTGAGTCATGTTTTCAGTTGCCTGACTTTTCTTTTTTATTCTTGAAATGCCTTTCTGGATCCCCCTCCTCATATAGGCTTAGTTACCCCCCGACCTGCGTTTGCAGAAGTAACAGATGGCTGCCTCAGATTAGCAGAGGAAATATCAAGTTAGATGTTATCCAATTACACCAAGGAGATTATATTTAAATCCTAATCGCTTTGACTGTTTTCATGAAATTGCTTCTTTGGTTGTTTTTTCTTTAAATATTACTTAATTAGGGTTTATGTTTTAAGTATACTAAATATAAGATACATATTTATTAAGTCATAAAGCACTTTATTATGTGTGAGAAAGAGGAAATTCTCAGTATGTTAATGGACATAAATAGTTTTAGGGTAGTGCTAAAGATACTGTTGGGATCATACACAATTTTAATCTTAGGCCAAGTATTGCCCTCTGCCCCATATTGATTCTTTTTCCTTGTTTTTCAGGATGGTGGAGAAGAGCGGAAAAGTCCATGAGGGTCATGTCACTGCAGGAGGCAGAATTATTCGTCACTTTCGTTCCAGCTCAGTACCCATTCCCCTTGCTTTGGACAATATGGTCCATTTCTCTGCTAGTCCACCAGTCAAACAATCATTGCAGCAGAACATTGAGGACGGAGCAGGAAGTGGGAGTCTGTCCTCACCTCGCAAGCAACCTCCTCCCAAACCAAAGAGGGATCCCAATACTCGCCTAAGTGCGTCCTATGAAGCTGTTAGTGCAGGGTTGACAATGGCTGCCAAAGAAAGCTATACTCCAGAGGGGTCCAGTTCACCTGCTGGAAGCCCTCCTAAATCCCAGCTGTCCCCCAGTGACCCAGCAGGTACATACAGCTACTGCAAAACAAACTATTATCGTTGTAAATTTTTTGTTAGAGATCAGCTAGTGTTCAAAATTTTATTTTTAAATTTGCTAAAACCTTTAGTGGTGAATTGTTATTAAAGAAAAACAGAGGTGTAAGAAACTACTTGAAAGTGACATGTCAGATAAAGTTTTATAACTTTTTAACTAATTTTTGAATTTTGTTTGGAATGTCAGATACTCATTTAGGCTGCTATAACAGAATTCTAGAGTTCTGCAATCACTCTTTATTTTACTTCTTCTCTTCATACTTGTCTTTTGTTCTTATCTTATCTTATCTTTTGTTTCATTCTTGTCGGAATCTGAATGCATTTTTGTTTATTATATCTTGCCATATTCAGTTAATTTTGCTTTGTGGGGTTTCCCCCACAAAGCAAAATTAAACCATTACACCTTCACTCCCATGCTTCACAGTTGACATGATGTTCTTGTTCTAAAATGGTTAAATGGGTTTTAAACAGACAAGCCTTCTGTTCTCATGTTCAGATAATAAACTTGTAGAAATTTAGCCCCAAAGAATATTTTACCAGAAGAATAGTTATTTCTTTACATTATTTTTTAACAATCCTTAGTGTGGTTGTTATGTGTGCCATTGCAATTAACTTCTTCAACTGCAGGTTTTATGCTAGCTAAACTTTGTCAGTCTCTGATTGAAGAAGGAGCCCCCAAATCTTATATTAATAGCAGCTGATGTGTGTCATTTTAGACATTGTAAGTGAAAATAAATGTCTTGTTAAATAGGCTCAATATTGTGTCATGCACAATTTCTCTAATTAACAATCCTTAGATTCAAATATGTTCCAAAATCCAACAGGCCACTATAGAGTGTGTGTTTTGTTTTTATCTTGCAGATTGCCTTGACTTGATTTGTTTCAAAATCCCTTTCTTTTATCTTTTCCTCAGCCAAGCCCCGCCCCCATAGTGATGACTACACAACTATAAGAAAAGTACCACCACCCAAACCTAAGCGCAGCCCTAACACTAAGTTGACAGGCTCATATGAGGAAATCAATGCTGTGGCACCTCTGCTTCACCAGCTACGCCCTGCTGATGTAAAATTGGCCCTGCTTTCTCGTTGCGGGGGTTTCGGAGGAATCGGAGGCCCCATGCAGAGAGCGGCTTCTTTAGATGCACCAAAAGGAGTGGCCCTCAGCTTATACAAGGGCCAAGATGAAGAGGATGTATACATAGAAATGTTAGGGTCTCAGCCACGGGCTCGTAGTCTCCAGGAGCCCCCTGACAGCCCAGAGCTGGTTGACTCTGAGGCTGTCTATGAGGAGATGAAGTATCTCCCACCTGAAGATGGTGGAAATCCTGTCCCTGCTATCACCAAGGCAGCCAAGCTGCAAACTCTATCCTTGGGCTTGATCGGACTGGGTTTATCTCCTCCAAAAGGTGGGGAGAACAAACAAACATCAGCCAGTGCCAATTCTGCAATGGATGTTTCTCTTACACCAGGCCTGTCTAGCGGAGTTTCTTCCAAAGCTCACCTTGGCAAAGATGGTAGCTGTGAGATTCCTGCTCCTTTCCCCAACTTACTCCCTCACCGCCCTCCCCTCCTGGTCTTTCCTCCTTCACCTGTTACCTGTTCTCCTGCATCAGATGAGTCACCACTCACCCCCTTGGAAGTAAAGAAGCTGCCTGTTTTTGAAACTAATCTAAACTATGCCACAGGGCCAGACAGCCCTCTGTCCCCACAGTTTTCTCGCCAAAGGGCTGATTCTTCACCTAGTCTTACAGTCCTCATGCCAGAAAAGAAGTCTACTCCTCCACTGACCCCTCCACCACCTCCTCCTCCCCCAAGTGCAGCACCTCCTCCCTACAGACCCCCTTCACATTTCCCCTTCCCACCTGAGGCCAACTTCCTTGCTCTGACTCGTGCAGCATCTGTCACTGGGAGCTCAAACTCCCCCAAAATCTCCTCTCAAAGGGCAGCTGTGGAGCCACTGGGGAAGCCGCCTCCCTATTCTCCAGTGAAGATGTCTCGACCTGAGCCACGGAGGGCACACTCTTGCTCATCGTCACCGCTGCTGTTTAACCCAGCCAATGGCAGACCCCTAACTAGCCCCCTAGATGAGCTCAACACTCTGTTCAGTTCTGGACGCAGCCTGCTGAGGAAGTCGACACCCGGTCGCAAAATGAGAGATGGAGGTCTGTTAATAATAAAATACCCTTGTTAATTTTCTATTTTTTATAGCCACTGGCAAAATTATTTTTTAATTCAGTTGCTTAAGATGTAGCTTGCAACATGGAAAAGTCTGTCTTTTAGTTCTTGTTTTGTTTGCCAATTTTGCACAAAAATGTATATGGCAACATCCTGCAATTACTCTCACTAGACATAGTGAACATGTCTCTAGCACAGCCTGTGCCATTACCATTATTCCAGTAGTAGTTAGAAAAGAAAAAAGTAAAGAAAAGAAATCCCTAGGCTTTGCAAAAACAAGAAATAAACTTCTTAACTAAGTTACACCATGAGCAAGAGTATGTAATGCCAGTGCATTAGCATAGCACTTAATTATTAAAAGGTGATACAAGCAGAAAAGGACATCTAATCATTTGTACTGGTGAATAATATAAATGGAAACTAGTCTGATGAAAAGGGAAATATATAGAAAATATGTTCAGTATTCAACTTGGCTCTTAGGTCAATGGAGACAAACTCTGACTTAAATACATATAAAATAACCCTAATGGCTGATTAAAAGGAATTAGCTCCTGAAGCACTCTGTATCCTTCAATGATCAGTATATTAGAGGGGCGTCTACAGATGGTAGATTATTTCCCCTCTGAAACCTGCTGAACTTGGCTTAGAAGTGTGCCTCTTGTGGTGCTTGTCTTTCGTTTATTATCGGCTAGACAGGCAACCTCTCCCAACAAACAGCAACTATTAAGCTGCCACGGCTGATAGAACACAGTAGCGACATGCAGAGTTTTGATGATCTCTGCTGTCATTGAAGATATTGGCTACTGGTGTGCAATGTCTCTGTGTGATTGGTCTAGTCCATATTAATACCAAGATGTGTTTCCAGATAGCTAGGGCTGGAGATGATGGTGATTTCCATGTCTTCCAGGCTAGCATGGATTTGCTACCATGGATCTACAGTGTCTAAAGTCCACTACCATTTCCTGTGTTAAGCTGTGGATGGTGGTGGTTGCAGCAGTTAAAAATAATATGATTTTGTCCCTGTACAAACAACCTACAACTAATAAATAATCAGAAACTGTATGAAAACAGGCACTCTTTGGGTTGGAAGATAGATGTATAAAGAATGAACAGGAATGTTTCCTGTGGGCCTCCTACCAAATCTCTAAATATGGAGACACAGGTAACTACATAAGCTTTTCAGTGGATTGGTATACATTCGGATTTAAATAGATAACTATTGATTGTTACCTTTTCTTCATGTGGGAGCATGGATAATGTATATATTTTTGTGCAGTTGTGTTTTGCATTGACTCTTTGTGATTTCTGTTTTCTCCATTTGAATGGGTTAATGAGATTTATTAACCATTTATTTACCTCCCACGCAGTAGAAGCATATCAAAGTTGAGATAAAACCTTGTTTTGTTTACAAAGTGAAAGCTTGTTGTTTTGGTTAGGCTTGTTTTTGGAGGTTTGGGAATTGGGTATTCTGACATTTACAACGGAAACCCTGTTTTCCATATTATTGAAATATACCGTTAGAGTATCTGCACATGTGGATTCTAAATCAGCTCTGTTAAATGTAGGCAAATTGGTTATTGCACGAAGCAATTCAGTGTGCTACATGCAGTGCAGACAAAATCCTAAAAAAGTAGTGCAGACATTTATGTCAAAGTTAGAGCTGTTGAATGTCAGCAGGTCAGAGTATGCAAACCCAAGAACAGATTGCTTTGCAGTGTTGTAAATATTCTGATGCAATCTTAGCAGAACTCTGTCCTATCAGCGAAGATAGAAATCCTGCTATCCAACTGTGTTTCCTCAGAGTGTGTAACTTGGGGCTTTGTTAATAATGTATGAGCAGTAGAATGATGAGGATTAGGCATCAAATATTCAACACCTCACTCATGTTTTACTGAAAGGAGTGTGAATGTTCTGAAGCAGCGAACAGTACAACCTGGTCAAATATCTAGAATGCAAGTAAAGAAAAAAAAAACTCAAGCAGAGTAAAGGAGATATAGCTTTTAGTCCAAACAGATGATAATTTTTCTCTTGCCTTAATGAGGAACTGCTCGGTGTGCGTATCAAACTATTGCATCATGCTTCTATAATGGTAAAAATTTCAGTGAGCGGGGTGCTAACAACCTTATAAGACACTGTATGCGAGCAAGCGTGTATGATGACGCATTTGCCCCACATCACATCCTGTACTTGACTCTTCGTCAGCACCTGGACTGGAGCAGAAAAAGCACTGGCATCATGGAAAATGGTGTGTGTGACAGAAGGCCGGGCGGTGGAGTATTTTGAGCAGCCAGACCGCGGCAGCCGCCTTAGATCTAAGTGCATAGGGATGCCTATGGGTTTAACAGGACAAGCCACTTCCGTTCCCTCTGGGTAGTTAAATGACAGAATGTGATACTCAGCTCTGGGGAGCAAGCAGAGGTTACAGTTGCTATCCCCAACATCTCTGAGAAGAACAGCTGATTCCCCCGCTGTGTCTACCCCTCCTTATCCTCACCCCGATGGTATGAGAAAACCACAGAAATGGCTAAGAAAGAGGACAGGTGGACTTTGGGTTCTCCCACAAACCTGTGTCATAAAAAAGACATATAATTAAAAGAAATGAGGAAGATAAGCTTCCAGTTCTACTTCACTGCGTTCCCTAGAGTCTGACTTTGACTAGATATGATCATTCGTCTCTCGGATACAAACTTTAACCCTGGAATCTATGTTACAGTAGTCGGCTAAGCATGTAGTATATTACGGTATCATGTTACTGGGTGGGGGTAGGTGCAGTGGGGCAAAAGCCAGACATTATTAGTGAAGGACATCGGCTGATGATATACTGGCACACAAGTCAAGACGCTTGTGAACATATAGAAACCTTGATGACTTACAATACAAGCTGTAAAGACACTTAACAACAAATTGCGAAAATGGAAACTTTTCAAATACCCTTTGAAGCTTCTCAAAGGTAGTGATGAATGCAAAAATATAAAAGTTTTTCACCTTAGGAATGATTAAACCATTTGTGCACACTAAAAACAATCTTTTAATACTGTATTAAATCACCCTTTACAGTTATTTATTACCAAAGATTTTTAAAGCCCTCAAACGAGTTATCATTTGGTCTTGAATCAGAATATTGATCTAATACATTTGGCCAATTCAACTCAAAGTCAGAATTCCATTTCAAGAGAGCACATGAGAGGATCTAGGACTCTGGATGACCCAGAGAGATTTTGCAAACATGAATGGTGAAAGATCTCTCTCACTGTCTGTCACACGTGTGAAATTAGAGAACTATGTAGAATTGAAAAGTTCCTCAGTTCCCTCTTTAACTAAAATTTTATGAAATAGTATGAATTACAAAAAATGTTTAGGTCAAATTCATTTTACAGGAAAGATGCACTATGGAAAAAGCCCTCAAGACCCTTAATAAGAGAAAGGCTAGCACAGTTCACAATCTAGATGTCTGTTGTCTGGTTGATGCTAATGTGATTTGTGCATGCATGTAATATGTTTCTCTCTGGTTTTACTATTTCTAGGATTCAATTCAAACATTAATTTGCCAGGGAGAGAAGAAAGTGGCTCTGCACCCACTTCACCATCTCTGCAGCTACAAGACAAGAATGCCAACAACCACTCTCTGCACTCCCCAAGCCCTCTCCCTATTGAGAACGGCAACCAAATATCTAATGGTAACATTACAAGGCTTTACATTTTACACTTTGACTTTCTAAAGCATAATCTCCTGAATTCATGGTTTGCTTAACGGTATACTGATAGATCAGTCAAGGTTTAGGGAACTCCACGTTCCTCTTCTATAGCTTTACAAGGTACAGTACTTCACTACTCCCAGGTTTTATAGCGAGTCAATTTAAATAAAAAATACCACCAGGCTACTCTAACTTTATTGATTGTAACCTCAAGAGTTCACGAAAGTATTAAAACACTAAAAGTCAAGCCAAGAATTTACACCTATTTGGAGTATAGAAATATACAATGCAAAAGACTTTTTACAAAAGGAACACATAGGACAGTCAGTCTGATTTATTTTATCCTAAAGTCAGACCAAGAAAATGGTGAAACTCTTAGAGCTACATCTCTGATTAGCATACCTTCTTAAAGTAGGAGGGTTCTCCAGCTAACACACTTAGTGTTGACCAAAACACAACCAATACATAACATTTTTTTCATTGGACATAATTTTTATAGGTGTTATGCTATATATCCATCCATCCATTATCTGACACGCTTGTCCCAATTGGGGTTGCGAGGGGTGCTGGTGCCTATCTCCATCTGTCGGGAGAGAGGCGGGGTACAACCTGGACAGGTCGCCAGTTATGCTATATATATATCTTTTTAACTAAAGTTTAGATATTCATTAGCTTTAAACTCTAATTAAAACTGACCAAATAATGACTAGATATTTGGTCTAGTCACAATGAATATACATTCCTTGTGTGATGAATTGATATGAAACTTCACATTAAATTGTTATGTTCAATTACTGAAATAAATTACTTTCTCTGCTATTTTCTTATTCATAGAGATGCACCTGTACTGTGAAAAGGATGCCACTTTTATTTTGACCCTCCAGTTATATGTTTGCTATTTCTAAAATATGCAGGATCACTAGAAGATGATACCAACAGCAAGTCTAACTCTAGCAGCACCTCTTTGCACAGACATCTGGATAGCCACCATACTCAGGTAAACACATACCTATATAAACATCTATGTAAAATATTTACCTGCTAGTATGTTATGTGCCGGTACAGAAAATGTAAAGTTTGTTTTCATAATATCTCCATTTCAGGTTCAAGTGGTGTACAATTCCTGTATTTTGGCCTGTTAGCCCCAGAAGTCAATTTATTATGTTTAGTTACCTCAATTTGCAGACTTTGTGAAACGTTGGCCTTCATTTTAAGATCTGTTTACTTATAGCTGGTTACAGGGACACAAACATTTACTCACACACCTTCACAGTGGCACACACACACACAGCCTCTGTAATGATAGACGTTTTAGTGTTTGGGTTTGTTGACAAGTGAAGAGAAAAAGTCACCTTCTTAGGAACACCATGTACCTCTCATGATATCCGAGCTTTTTCAGACACTACAGACAGGTGTACTGTTACACGATTAAATTCATTGTCCTGTTCACTTGAAGCCAAACTCACACACATTCAAGTGAAAACTAGTGAAAACCGAGAGGTCCAACTAAGCAGTGCTGTAAATGTCAATGAGCCTAAAGCAGTAGGAAATTGAACTTGCATGACCCGAGCCGCAAACAAAAAATGTCCGTTGGGGTCATAAATAGATTCAGGCTTTCATACTGATTATTACGTGCTGTAATTTCACTTCAGGCAAGAACACCCTGTAATAGCCTTTTTTTTTCTCCTAAAGATTAAATTCATCTTTTCCTTTGATCTGAGGCAGTTTTGCCATTGTTAACCACTAAATGGGGGAAAATTTGCTGAAAGAGTTCAACACAAATGAAATACCACAACATTCTCAGAATGTGTTTTATCTAACATTTTACACAATCAATTCTATGAATTTTCTCGTGTAGAAAGTTGGACCCAAACTCTTACCATCTCAGGCCTGGAACTGAAGACAGAGCTATCATTTATAGCATATTTTTATTAGTGGGATTTACAAAATGCTTGTATTTCTGGTGTAATCACTAACAACTCCATGAAAACAGGCAAAGTTAGCCCATGGCAGTATTACACAGCACATGTGCTGGTGAAGATTCTCAGTCATCCAGGGCATAGTCATTCCAAAATAGTTAAAAAACAAACCACTGGAATTTGTTTTCCAAGCCTGAAGATGGTTTGTTTCTCATCCAGGAAGCATTTTCAATTCAAAATGTCTGGATAAGCATTGAGTTACAAGCTAGAGTAGCCCAACATGGTCCAACAAAGCTATGACAAGAGGAAATCCAAGAATAGGTTGTATTTGTACTCTTGTTAATATCCTAGAACGTAGATATGAGGATAAAAGGCCAAGAATGAATTTGTAAATAAAAGTATATGAATACAGAAGGCATATAGATAACTATGGCCTGCGTTAGCTTTTTATATCTGAAGATAACTGTGAGAAAATATGAAATCTGCAAAGCTTGGAATATGTTACCAAGCTAATAAATTTAAGATTAAATAATATTCTTATCATATCATCAAACTAAATAAGAAGGAGCTGACACTTGCTTTCTGATTGACTTATTTCATGTTATTATAGAGTTAATGAAGAAATGCCTGTGATGTCATCAAGGTCTACTGACCAGGTGAAACATACCTGTCTAGAATCCACTTTATTATTAATTTAGATGGATATGAGTTTAAATTATGGTAGCAAGCTAAAATTACTCATTTATAGTATATAGTATAATCTAGAACATACAGACCAGAACATAGAGTGTTTACTCAGTAAAGCTAAGTGAATTTTAATCACATATTGGATCTGCACCGGATTTTGCTAAGCTGGAGGCGAAGGAATAAGCAAAGGACATGGTGTACCATTTTAAGACGAGCTCACAGGATTCACCTTTCATAAACCAACTCCACAAGAGGTGTGAAAGCACCCTGTGTTCCTTCTTTAAAATCCTGTGACTGAGGAAACGTTTTTCCCCTGCATTTATAGCCAACTTGTGTGTACTGTATGCAAGCAAAATGATAATGTGCTGGTATTGCTATTCACAATATTTCTAGACGCCTGAGGTAGATTCCAACTAACATATCTCATTTTCTCTACAATTCTAACCTTCTTTTTTGCTTTTTTTTGCTTTGTTTATTTTCCAGAGAGGGCATCTTAATTTTTCTCCATTTGGTGCAGGGGCTGCCCTCTGAAACAGAGAGGCTGGTCTGGGGGGCTTATTGGAAACACTTTCCAAATGTAGGGATGTGGTGAGTGTGTCACATCCATGCTGCTCTTCAGTGTGACAGTAATAGCAGTGTTTTTCATAGAAATTGGGCAAAATCCTACTAGTTCCTAAGAAAATTGGGTGAAAGTCATTAATAGTCTAGTTATCCATGGAGCCTGAGTTTTTTTTTATGAGCCATCAAAGCCAAGGAAAGAAGATCACAATGTTCTGATCATTAACTTTTACATAAAATAGGGGAATTCTCTGAAGGGAAACCTGTGAAAAGCACTGCTTCTGCTTAGCTTCATCTATAGATCATCTGCTCCACCAAAAAGAATACGTTGGTTTGACATTCTTCATTCCTCCACCTTTATATGTTATTCGCTTTTTTAATTATTAGTATTCTTTGGTGATTCTGCATCGGTGCATAAATCAAGGCGTAGAACCATTTTGCGTTATGTTTTTATTTAGAGCATAAAGTCATAAAAAAAATTCATTTTGCTCATTATTATTAAACTCATTATTTCTGTTCAGGAGGCAACAAGAAAACCATTCCAAAAACATGAAAACGTAGCTGTGAATATTGTTACTGATAGACAACTGAAAATGTGATGCTATTTTGTGTCTTTGAAGTTTGGAGTCCATTTGTAACCCTTATTTTTGTGTACAAAATAGCCTTTTTGTCTCTCCTCATAACTGCCCTGGGGATGTTTTGTGGAATTAATGATTGAGCTTACAGAGCTGCCTCCAAGTTTTAAAAAAATAGTTATGCTGACCAGTCACCAATAAGAGTTTACGTAAAGCCACATCCCTCCATCTGCTTATGACCGTGTCACACCTTTTAGTCAGTGTATGCTGGACGTCCCAGAATCTTCTAAAGTGCTGGCATAGGCTGAGCTTTCTATGTAATTTTTTTATTTTGGGGGCGTATACATAGCGTATGCATAATGAGTCCAGAACTTATGTCATATCTTATGCATAAAGCATGGCAGCATAATGCCCATGAAATTTCACAAGACAGTGTCCTGAGGGGAGCAGCGTTGCACCCAGCCTGCACCTGGCCTGAATAAAATGATTTCTTTGATCGCGTTATTAACCTAACTGCTGTTTGCTGCCTGCCAAGAAGGAAGGAAGGAAGGAAGGAAGGAAGGAAGGAAGGAAGGAAGGAAGGAAGGAAGGAAGGAAGGAAGGAAGTTGGATACAGATAGAATTAATGTGTGTCAACGATCACATAACTTATGGACCACGTATGAGCATACGCTGGCATACATGCTTGCCGTATGTCAACATGTGCCGGTGTGTTTCAGCATGTTCATGACTTATACAAAACGTACCCATAACTTATAATGTATGCCAGAGTTTTCGGGAGATTTTTCATACGTCGGCATATGCTGGCTAAATCGTCAAGGTGTGACACCACCATTACAAACACTTGCAGATTAGTTTGCAGCTTTGGGTTTAATTATCTGCCTTAGTACATCTGCATAAGGCAAGAAAGGAAATTAGGGTCCAACTCACAGCTTTCAAAATGCATCATGACTACAATTCCCATCAGGCCCTATTCATAGATAAATAAATCAAATCCCCCACAAAGTGAAGGTTGCAATTCTCAAATACAACCAGAAAAAGGCCACAACTCTCTGATTGATCCATCTTTGATTTTAATTGCTGATTACCTGCTTTGATTTCTGCGTTGCTTAATTCAGTTTTTGATTTGCTTTTTAAACCATTTACAGGCCATTTTCCCTGATTTATTAGTCCATGTTATATGTAATTAGGAACTGGGCTTTATTCATGCATATCTAATGCCTGTAAAGCCTTACACACATTTACATTTGTTAAATATTCTGTCTTTTCTGTTCATCACAGCTGAAATATTGCAAATACTGCAAGGCAAAGATAAGAGAATAATACTTTTCTGATGGATTTTGAAGCAGTTTCAATATAATTAATTTGTTCATTTCCACCAAATTAGATTCATGCTGTGAATATTTTTGTCTTTTAACTCCATTCCAACTATGTTTGCAAAGGATTTTTATAACTAATAAGAAAAAAGGATGTTAGAAGATAAAGGGAGAAAGTTGATTACTCTGGTTTGAATTTCTCTGTAAGTGCAATCAAGGCTAATTATATACCAAATTGACAGACAGCTGAGTGACTGGAGACGACAAAGATTGATAGTTTTGTTTTTCCCCTCAGTCAATGTCTCAGTAAAGGCGGTGACATTTAAAGTAGCAGTCCTCACATGTTTGCTTCCTAGAAGCATTTGGCACACCGCATTCCCATTTCTGAAACGTATGAGAGGGACGAACAGTACGATACTCTATCTCTGTAAAAGATAGTTTTGAGAAAAAATCTCACACAGAAGTGATCTACGTTTGATATTTTTGGTCTTTTCATCTTAATAATCTGCTCTTCTAATAGACAGATTTGGAAGAACACTTGCAGAAATATAAAGATTTTTTTTTTTTTTTTTTTGTACGAAGTCGTATAAATAAGGTATACCGAAAGTCATGTTTAGTGTTTGGCTGAATACTTTATATATTTTGACATAATCTTGGGATAATAATAAAAAGGATGTTTTTCTTATAATTATATTCCAAGATCAGAATCCAATGTTTTTGGATTGTTTCCTAAATCAGTATATTATAATCATCAGGTTACAAGCTTTTAGAAAGAATTACCTTAGCCCAAGTTATTCATGTAGCACAAGTAGTTTATGTTAACACAATATTCATAATATTCGCGAAGCTCAGCTTTTCTTTTGATATAAAATGGATACAGTTAGACATAAAAGAAGATATTGAAATATAAGTATATTTTTTCATATTCTATTTCCTCTTTTGTTATTGAATGGGAAAAATGTAATTCTACCTTTTTCCAGAAGTATTCAAACTGAAGGAATCTCTAAAACTGCAGAACACAATTGTTAATTGGAAAATAAAGTAAGTAAGGGTTATTAAAGTTTACCCTATATAT